CAAAAAAAAAAAAAAAAAAAGAAATTCTTCTGGGTTGATCGTAAGGACGCCAAGGACACACGGAGTTCTTGTGATTTTGTGAAGGTAACATTACCATGGGACCCAAGGGACTTAAATTCTAGTTCCTAGGCTGCGACTAGTTTCATGAGCTGAGAAGAACCGTAGGCTTCGAGTCCCAGTTACTCACCCGTGAAATACGGGGTTGTGCTAAGTTTTACCTCAAAACACCATTTAATCGTGTTGTGAACTCTCTGATGATGTGCCAACCGGGCTATTGACACGGGAAGGAGGACCAGACATATGCACTGCCGATCTTTGTGGTGTGACAACATTGCCACAACACAGGAAGTACATATAAACACACAGGCAGAAACTACACAGGATCTGTGCTCTCCGGCAGGAGCAACAGCAGAAAGCAGTGGTACTGGGGGTGTAACCCAGAAATCATAAAAGATAAGTGGGTGTTAGGTGGGCAAGGCACAGAGCGGGAAGCACACTGATGTGATCAGGAGGATTATCAGGCTATGGGGGATGTGGTGGCTGACTTAAAGAAAACAAGACTTTCACAGGACCTGAAGACAAGAGGAGGTGAGAGACTTAAGGAGCATGGCCCTCGGCCTTGCTGACCCATTCACAAATCCACATCAATGACGGGGCAGTGAGAGTGTGAATACCTTCCATACTCCTAAAACACATGTAATGATGATGCTTAAGCCTCATCATTAAACTCACCTTAAGAAATCACACCAGGCCGGGCGGTGGTGGCGCACGCCTTTAATCCCAGCACTCGGGAGGCAGAGGCAGGCGGATCTCTGTGAGTTCGAGGCCAGCCTGGTCTCCAAAGCGAGTACCAGGAAAGGCGCAAAGCTACACAGAGAAACCCTGTCTCGAAAAACCAAAAAAAAAAAAAAAAAAAAAGAAATCACACCAGACTGTAACACTGCAGCTACCCTTGGGTGCCAGGGCCTGTTGCACCATCAGGACTTAGATCAAAGAATGGAATTCAGCTGACATGGCATACACATCTGTAATCCCAGCACTCAGAAGAATGGGGTGCGAGGGTTGTGAGTTCAATACCAGCTTCACTCACATAGTTGAGACTCTGTCTTAAGAAAAATCAATGGAAACCTAAATTATTTGCATCAAAAGAGTGAAAATAAAAGCTATAACCAGAAAAACAGTATAAATCTGTTCATGTTATGCTATTCATAGAGTCTGTGCCCTAAAATCATCCCACACATAACATTCCCCTGATGCATAAAGAGTTACTGGTCCTTCATTAAACTGCTCATTTGCTGGAAACTTGGGATAGTGGATGGACAACATGGCGGAGTGCATTGGGCAAGAGCTTGTGACCATAGGGCCACTTCCTTCTTGTCTATAAATACACTCAGGTGACAAACACATCACCACAGCTATTAAATCTCTTCTCTTCACCCTGTTGCTTATGTTTCTTATTACTGGGAAGTTGTTTAACAAGACACATATGTAGCTGGAGAGTTTTCTCTCTGGGTCCCGCCACGCCCCGAGAGTCCGACAGCCCACTTATTTTTTTTTTTTTTCCGAGACAGGGTTTCTCTGTAGTTTTGCGCCTTTCCTGGAACTCACTTTGTAGACCAGGCTGGCCTCGAACTCACAGAGATCCTCCTGCCTCTGCCTCCCGAGTGCTGGGATTAAAGGCGTGCGCCACCACCACCTGGCTTCGACAGCCCACTTATAAAATAAACACACAGACACTTATATTATTTAAACTGTTTGGCCTAATGGCTCAGGCTTCTAGCTATCTAGTTCTTACATCTTAAATTAATCCATTTCTATAAATCTATACTTTGCCATGTGGTTTGTGGCTTACTGGCATCTTCACATGCTGCTTGTCATGGTGGCGGCTGGCAGTGTCTCCCTCCACCTTCCTGTTCTCTCAATTCTCCTTTCTGTTAGTCCCGCCTATAATTCCTGCCTGGCTACTGGCCAATCAGTGTTTTATTTATTGACCAATCAGAGCAACACATTTGACATACAGACCATCCCACAGCACACATACATGTGAAGTCTCCATATTTTTGTTGTCTTCTGACTGTGAGACCATAGACAACCAAAACTAAATTGAAAATTCTGTTTACTGTGCTAGGGTCTGCCCTAGGTTCTTGCACACAGCTCTAACTCCTAATGTGGCTATATTATTTCTGAGGAAATTGTTGCTATTAAATGATGTCTTAATTATAGGGCTCTGGTCTGATAAGATTACCTCTTACAAGCTGGGCGGTGGTGGCACACGCCTTTAATCCCAGCACTTGGGAGGCAGAGCCAGGCAGATCTCTGTGAGTTCGAGGCCAACCTGGTCTACAGAGCGAGATCCAGGACATGCACCAAAAGTACACACAGAGAAACCCTGTCTCAAAAAAAAAAAAAAATTACCTCTTACTTGAAACCTCTCATTCACAGACTCTCAGCCTCTAAAACCAGGAGGAAAAAAAAAGGTTCTTTAAGCCCCTTAGTTTATAGTACTCTGTGGTAGCAGCCTGGGCAGATAATAGCTCCACCTGCTTGGTGTTCAACCTGCTGTGACTCCCTGGGCAGTTCTTCTCTTTCCATGGTTAGGGGTCTGCAATGAGTCTTAGAGCGGCTAAGGTCAGGAGTCAGCAGGACAGGAGCCCTCTAGAGGAGAAATTCAAAAAATAAAAGAGGGTGATACGGTGAGGCTTTAGGGGGTTCCTATGAGGTGACATTTGAGTTAGGTCTGAGCGAGAAGGAACCAGCTGTTCAAAGTAGTGAGGGATGATGAGCCAGCACAAGAGCCCCTACGATGGACATGAGCTTGGCACCCGGGCTTCCTGTGGCTGCTTTTAACAGGTTGCCCCACATAAAATATTAAGGGCAACCTCAGTGTCTTACAATAGCATGCACTGATTATCGCACAGATGGAGCTAATGATGTGCCTCCTGCTCTAACCCCTTCCAGAATGTACGGCTCACAAGTGAAGGGCCTTATCCATCACATTCCTGTCGTATCCTCAGAGCCTAAAGCATAAGACTGAATATTTGTTGACTAATTCTCTAACCGCATGCAAAGCATAATGAAATTTCATGGTACTTATACTTGACTAGATGAATAAAATAGATGAGTGTATTTATAAGGTCATGTTAAGTGGGGGAAAGGCAAGATATAAACTCCATGTAAACAGAAGGAGAAAAATGACAGCGAGAAAATATCTGCAAATGTTAACATTGGCTTCAGGACAGCCGCGAGTGGGTTTCTTTTTTAGTTCCCACGCCCTCCCATGCACTCCCCATTTTTTCTGTAATGGGCATCTTTTCCCTTTGCAATAGCTGGAGCTCTGGATTATAAATAATCCTACCAGGTGATATCAAGCAATGGCTAACTCCTTCCTGAGTACTGCGAGGAGCTTCATCAAGTTTCTGGTGTAGCCATCTCTCATGTCTCCTCTCCCACCCCCTCCAGGGGTGCTCAGTGAGCCTGCTATCTATCCTCCACTGCCAGCCACCTCTATGGAAAAGTAATTCCTGCTCATAACTCTGCACCCATCTCCTCCACAGACTTTATTCTTAGCCATAGTACTGACAACATGCTGATGTAGTAACTGCCATGCGGCCCTTTTTCAGTGAAAGGACTTGTGCGTGACAGCAGAAATCTTGTTTTGCTGTTTCCCCAAAGTTGAGAACAGTTCCAGCGGTGTAACATTCAACAAGTATTTTTAAGTGAACAAAATACAACTCAGTGATCTTAGTCCATGAATGAGTACAACATCCTGCAAGAGAAAAGGAGGAGAAAGGCTGATCCTGAAGTCATTAGCTCAGCTATTTCTTCTGGATTGCAGAGACAGCCAAAGACAACAGAGTTAGGCTTTCAGATTCAAAGCACTGAAGCCATAGAAGTGATGAATCTGGGCGTGACATTAGAACTAGAGACAAGATATGACTCCAGGAACAGAAAGCAAATGGATGTAGAGAGTCAGAAAGTGGAAGAGGACTGATTCCTCTCCCTGTCAACCCTCCCAAGCAGTATCCAATATCATAGCAAGAACAAAGACACAGCAGACGTCACTGCTCACCAAGAGGCAGATGTGGCCTTTCAGAAATCACCTTCTGAATGGGGCTGGTGGGAAACAGAGGACCTGACATTTACAGCTATGCCCTTCTTAGTCTAGCACAGCCAGGCACACTCTTCATTAATTGGCTGTGGGCAAGGCTGTGGTCCTTTAATATCACTCTTCCACTGTGAATCAGAGCAATGCTTAACAACAACAAAAGAAAAATTCTGAAGAAATGAGCTTTCTTTATGAACGGCTAGAAAATATCTATGAAACTCCTAGCAAAATCCCAGACATCAGGCACAAGAAACCCCCTTTCCACTAGTCAGAGGAGTCCAAGTGACTTCCCAAGCAATATAGGCCATTGATGTTGCCTCTCAGAGGTTGGAAATAAGTCACTAGAGACACTGTCTACTTCAGACACAACTCTGGAGGACCCCCAGCTGGATCTGACTTGAAAGCCTCCTCTCTGAGGACTAGCTTTCATAGTACTGAAAGATGCTATACAAACTTCCAAGCAAGAAAGCCACCAATAGTCCTACCCAGCTGTAATGCCCATGAAGCATACAAAGATGAGCATAGCATGATAACCCTAAGGGTATAATACTTTCATTCATTTCTTCATAGTAACCAATAGTTCTCTAATTGGACTTAAGGCCTGATCATAACTGGTACTGGAAAACTAGCTAACTATTTGGGGCTAGTGAAGTCACGGATCTTAGAGAATAATCTATTACTGTCACTTTATTAAGCCAGCATAATTACTAATACTTACTAGTATAATTCTAAGTACTTATGCTTTTTTTTTTTTTTTTCGTTTTTTGAGACAGGGTTTCTCTGTGTAGCTTTGCACCTTTCCTGGGACTCACTTGGTAGTCCAGGCTGGCCTCGAACTCACAGAGATCCACCTGGCTCTGCCTCCCGAGTGCTGGGATTAAAGGCGTGCGCCACCACCGCCCGGCTAAGTACTTATGCTTATACCCACAGGTAAGTGAGTTTTCACCCTTTCTCTTTACAACAGACAGAGGTCATTACAGAAAACCACAACTGGTCAAAAAGAAGACAACAAGAGATTATAGGGTGCCCATCACCCAAAGGATACATCCACAACACAACTCCTGCACCTAAGGCTCAGGAACACGGCAGAAGAGGGGGCAGAAAGATCATAAAAGCCAGGACCAGGAAATCACTGCAAGAATGCATCTCATAAAAACGACAAGGGAGCTACACCCAGGATACCTCAACAACGTGGAAATGTCTACAGTATTCTGCACACCAATGTGAAATTTGAATTGTACAGAAATTGAAGTCTTGTCTTTCTCAAAGTAAGGGTATCGTGGCAGTACATAGAAGCGAAAACAAACCGCACAAGACAACAGAGGAAACACCTACATAATACTGCATATTTGTGGCAGGAAAAAATGTGGGTTCTTAAAATACATATGGGTGCTCATCAGAAGCTCTCAAAACATGATTTTATAGATTATAGAAGTTATCCATATTTTCTGAACAGATTTATATGACCTAAAACAAAATAAATAAAACACAGGGTCAATTTTCCATAAGAAAAGTAAAAGAGTAGCTAAGTAGAAAGGTACTGACTGATTTTCCTGTTCACACATCCAGGAATGGAGGCTTGATTACCTCAGTCATGGAGTTTGTTAAACCTCCAGTCTCAGATCCTGGAGTGGGAGAGTGCTAAGTGATCCCCTGTCAGAAAGACAGACAGTGACACCTAGGGAAACAAGACCCTGATCTCTGGAAGGGGAGTCCCTTTTTTTTTCCCCCTGGAGCTGATGACCGAACCCAGGGCCTTGTGCTTGCTAGGCAAGTCCTCTACCACTGAGCTAAACCCCCAACCCCGGAATATTCTTTACATGTAGCTTGCAGTGTAACTGGGGACATGTGGCAGTCACAGGAGCCATCCAGAGGCAGGTGGTCTTGACTAAGAATCCCCACCCTGACCCCCATTTCTCCCCACAGTTTGACTGTCCTCTGAGATCTCTAAAGTCACGAGCACAGCTGCGTCCTTTACACACGTCACTTCTCTACATAGAGGGCCAGCTGAATGTGAGGAGCTGAAACTGCTTATAACACCAGAGTGCTCTCACTGGAGTTGAAGCTCAATTATAGGGTGCATACCCCAGGCCCTGGGCTCATCCCTTGCACCCATTCCCAAAGTTTTAAAATTGTCTGCCAGGGACTTTTTCTTCCTAAATTCCACTTATCTTACTTACTCCCCCACCTCCCCAGGTCCCTCGGCTGGAGTACCTTCTTGCCCTGGACCCGCTGCCGTGCTCTTCATGTCCCTGTCCACCCAAGTGGACCCTTTTCCAAAGCCACCCAAACATCTGGACTGCCTCACAAGCCTGTGACAAGTGTTCCATTGGCCTTCAAGACCTCCATTTCTTATATATATAAAAAAAAATACTCTGTGCCATTTCTTTCTGCCCTGTCCCCTGGAGTGTTGGACAATTTGTGCCTCCCACTCCCCTGTCTAAATCCTAATGCCAGCTCTCTTGCTGGACCCTGCCAGGTAGTTAGGTACTTTTGCCGGCTACTTAGGCGGTCTTCTTCTGCCTACTGTCCTGGCCCTGCATCCAACAGAGACCTGGCTCCGATTAGTGCTTAATAGATATAGTCTTCAATTAACAGCCCTAAAACATTGCTCAGTGAACCGACACATCTAACTTCTCATGCACTTTAGAGCCTTAATAGCAAGTCCCTTGCCATGAAACACTCCGGCTAGAACCCCATAACCCACAGCTAAACCTCAATGTTAAGACCAGCTAGACAAGCGAGACCATGTGTTCTTCTGTTGGACAGAAATTATCTACAGGAACAAAACACTAGAGAAGGGCGACTCTGGCAGTATGATAAAGTGAGGCAAAGCAGGCCACTTCGGTTTGTCTAAATGAAAATAAAAGTTAAGGCCACTGTGCCATCACATAATTCACACCTCGGGGTTGTCCTGACTTCTAACAGAAACACTTTCTTGGATGGTCTTCCAAGCCACTTGAAGGAAGTCTGTCCTCTGAGAGGACTCCCCAACCCCCGGCAAAGACGTCATGCTGCAGCTAAACCCAGTTCCTCTACCTTCCTTCATTTGTGTTCCCAGTGGTCTTCGGATGAAATCTGGTCATAGTTACAGGCCACTATTCTATATTCAACAGTCACAAATATCTTAAAGGCATCATTGTTCCCAGCTTCCACCCACAAATAGGCTGGCAGAGGTCAAGTGACCTAGCAGAAATCTTATGCAGTGACTTGTAGGCCTGACCCTGAGCATCTAATGAACAAGTCAACCAGATACCCACTATATTATCCTGGATACCTTTTTGAGTATGTGAAAATATTTTACAAAAAAAAAAATTTAAAGTACCATGAATTGAAAACAAAGCCCCAGAAGGCAAGAGGTGGTCCGTGGTGGCCAGATATCTCAGGTGTTTTCTACTTTGAAGACAAAAGGATGGAACAAGCAATAGAGAAAAAAGGGCTAGAATGACCCAACATATCTCAGCCGCAAAATATATAAGAAGTGAAAAAACTCTCACTAAACAATACAAGGCAATATTCTCATAAGTCAAGTCGGCAAACTACAGACCAAAGGCTGATGTCTAATATTGCAAACAGTTTTACTGGAATTTCCAATAGGCATCTTTCTACTAAAAATCAAACCGCACAGCTCCCTCCATGCCAAGTGGCATGGTGGGTGTCCATCTCCAGATGCCACTTCCTCTTTAAAAGGTGGGAAGGGCGGGCTCCGAGGAAAGGGAGGCTGCTTCTCGGTTGTCTGGGAGGGGCTGCTGCTGAAAGGAAAGGGCCGGGGTCCTGCCTGGACTCCCCACCCTGGACCAGCGCGCAAAAGGGATCCTGCGGCTTTAAACCCCCGAAGGGTCGACGGTTGCCCCGAGAGACAGACGCTCAACAGCAGTGCGCGCTCCCCGACTGCCGGCAGACATGCCTCCGTGTCGCAGCGTGATGGAACCCACGAAGGACAGCCCGAAGGAGCCGGAGGAGGCTTCGATAAGGGAAGAGGATGTGGTGGAAGAAGAGGAGCAAGAGGAGGCGGAGGCGGCGGAGGCAGAAGTGGCGGCGGCGGCGGCGGCGGAGGCGGAGGCGGAGAAGGCGGAGGCGGAGGAGGCGGAGGCGGAGGAGGAGAAGACCGAGGCGGAGGAGGAGGAGGAGGCGGAGGCGGAGGCGGAGGAGGAGGAGGAGGAGGAGAAGACCGAGGCGGAGGAGGAGGAGGAGGAGGCGGCGGTGGCGGAGGCTGAAGGGGTGGAGGGGGCGCAGGGAGCACAGGGAGAGCCGGGAAAGCAGGAAGAGCAGGGGAGGGAGGAGGTGGCGGCGAGCCAGCAGCAGGACAATTTCGACCCCTTCGCGGAGCTCTTGGACGATGGCGACCTCTGGAAGACCATGGACTTCAGTGAAGGCCTTTTCGACGATGACTTGGAGCTATTTCGTCCCCGCCTAACTAGCGTGGTCACCCCCAGCCTGAGCGCCACGACCCGGACCAGCGAGCTGTCCAGCCCCACGTGGAGCGAGGAGGAGCTGCAGCCCGGCGAGGGCTCTCCTGCTTCTAGCAAAGCCTCGTCCCATAAAAGTAGCTTCGGGCTTCTCTTCCCTGGGGTGGGGGTGGAGGGGGCTGGCCTGGGGGCGGCCGGTGCACCCCTCCCTCTGCTGCCCTCTGCACACACACTATTCAGTCTCGGCTGAGTGTCGTGACAGCTCCTGGTGTAGGATATAGGGGAATCGCTTAGTAAAAGTTGGAAGTTGGGGTCACTCCAGGGCACTAGTGTCTGCAGGGTACTGGGCGACTTACTGAAACAGTTCTGCAGTTACACACAGCTCTCTCCCGTGCATCGAACTTATTTAAAAGATAGGCACCACTGTCTTATTTAAAAAGGGAAGCAGAACATTTAAGACAGACTTATCAAACTCTCGCAGTTTGCATTTTACTGTGGGTATGTCTTTACTGTTGGGGAAAGGGTGGTGTCCTTATGCATTCTAGGATATTTTGTTTACCAGCATCCCTGGCCTTTTCTACCCCTGATTATGTAAATAAATCATAGGCACATCCCTGTGACAACCAGACTCTCTTTAGCCCTCACCAAATGTTCCCTGGGGACAAAATTTTCCTTAGAGAACCCGTGGCATGGAGTGGCTAAATAGTTTAATGTTTCATTCGACAGCTTATCCTAAAATATTTCAAACATTTAAGAAAGACTTGTCTGAAGTGACTGTAGATAGGTAAGAAAATGTTTTCAATTATCATATTTCTTGAAGCAGATAATGTTTACCCTTTTAGATTTGTTATAAATAACACAAGGCACGTAAAACTTAACTTACTCAAAAAGTTTTGTTATTTTTGTTTTTTCGCAAGCATGTTAGTACATGCTGTAATCCCAACATTCCAGAGTCTGAGGCAAGAGGATCGCAAGTTCGAGCCCACTCTGGCTTACACAACATAAAACAAACAAACAAACAAACAAAACTTAACAAACAAGAACTCCTACATTAGTAGGCACTTTGTAAGAGATAAAGATGAAGTTCCTGTCTTCATCTTATTACCCAGCTGTAAGTATGTGTGCCTGCTTATCAATAGGATACAAAGTAGGTATAAACCATGCAGGCAATAGTAAGTGCTGGGGCTGGAGGATGGCTCAGCAGTTAAGGGAATGTACTGAGGTGGGGTTCCAGCACCCACTTGGGGCGTTTCACAACTGCTTGTAACTCCAGCTCCAGGCTCCAGCATCTCTGATTTCAACAGGCACCTGCACTCACATGCACATACCCGCCCCACCCCACCCCCCACACACAACCGACACAGAATGCTTATGGTTTTTATCCGTTTTATTCAAATTTCTAATGAAATGTGTGGTCTAAAACATTAGAGTATACAAACATATAAAACTGAAAATCTCCACACCATCTCTGACCCACCAGACACAGTTAACATGTTAGCAGTCCTGGTTTTCCTTCTATTACATGCGTGTGCACATGTGGGGAAGCACATGTGTTCCCATGTGTCTATATTAATACATAGGCCAATGATCACCTAAGGTATCATCTTGAGGTGCTGCCCACCTTTTGTTCTTTGAGACAGTGTCTCTTGTTGTTAGATTAACTGGCCAGCAAGCCCCAGGGACCCCACTGGTCTTTGCCTCCCCATTGCTAGGATTACAAATGTTAAGTGCCATGCCCACCTTTTTTACATGTGTTCTGGGGGGTGGGAATAACAGCCTTGTGTTTGCAAGGCAAGCATTTTACCAATTAAGCTACCTTTCCACCCCTTCAATTATCATTTTAAAGAACATTTTCACTTGATTTATCAACTTCTGACTCAAAAGTATCAGCTTCCTCTCCAGTTTTTTGGTTTTGTTTGTTTGTTTTGTTTTTGGTATTTATATTACTTTTAATTTCCTAGGATTTAGAACGGTAAAGAATTGAAACCTGTACTTTTTGATTTATCAGCATTAGTATTAGCTTATAAAAAATTAACACTAAATCCACTGTTGCTTTCTTCTATTTCTTCTCATCTAGTTTTCTAATTAACAAATTACAACAAAGAGAAAGAGAAGTAGAGCACATTAACTACACATTCCTATGAAATCATAGTACTTTGCAATTTTATAATATATGTATTGTTTGTTAGTTACAATTGACCATTAGTACTTTACAGTTTGGTTTTTAGAAAATTGAAAACAAAACAAAAAGAACAAAAACAAAAAAGGCCTCGATTGGATCCATGGACAAGAACGTGAAATCTGATGTTAGCAAAACTTGTTGCCTAAAAAGTAAGATTTCCACTCAGGTGTGTCCAGTTGCCCTCACTTTTTCTGGGCTGTGTCAACGGCCACATTCCCTGGATTCCCAGTTTTCCATCTTTCACTCCTTTTTCTTTGCTGAGGGAATTCTTTAGGTAATGTTTTTCATGTAGTTCTCATCATGAGTGCTCAAATTTCCAAGCTCTTGGCTGCCTGGAAATGCCTCCATGTTGCCATTGAGCTTTATTAGTAATACAGCCTAGCTTACCAGAGCATGTTCAAAGCATTGTCCTTCAGGGCTCTGAAGACTGCCTCACTGCCTCAGGACCCAGGACCAGTGATGGATCTGCCTCCCACACCTCATCCTCACCTTTGTCTCCCTCCTTCCCTTCGGGATTCTCCATCATTCTTCCCTTCCTTTCACATTTTCAGCATCTTCACGATGTTTGATGTTTGAGTGCTGGTGTAGAGCCTGTGTATGGACATTTTTATTCTGTGGTTCATGACTGTAATTCTGAGAACCAGTTACTGTGTTTGGAGCACTTTCTGACTGTTCTTTATTGTCTCTGAAGGACTTGGACTCAGTGATATAGTAATACATAATGTTAATGTACTTTTATTCTTTTTTGTTGTTGTCCTCTATCTTTCTGTTAGTGTTTTTAAGTAGCTGGCAATCCTTAGTTATCCATTTGCATTTATAAAGGAATGGCTGGTGGGCAGCTAAAATGGGATCTTTCAGCACGGAGTACCTCACTTTGCTAAAGTGGGAGGGTTTACAGGGACCCTGGGCACGGAGGGGAGCACAGCACAGCCAACTTCTGTGGTCCCACCGTTATTCAAGTGAAGAGAAGGATGCAGTACTGTCTGGTGAAAGTTCTTTATGGTGTAATGGTCTGTCTGTCTGTCTTTTTCCCTCCCTCCTGCCTCTCTCCCCTGTCTCTCTTTCTCTCCTTCCTTCCTTCCTCCTTTCTCAAACTTGTTGCATCAGTAACTGTGTTCTCTGCCCTGTTTCTCATCCAGAAAGAAAACTACCCAGGCAATATGACCACTTTTCAACAACAATATCAGCAAGCTCTTCTTTACCCTGCTTTAGAAATAAGACTACTAGGGCTAGAGAGACGGCCTAGTGGTTAAAAGCACTTGATGCTCCTGCAGGGGACCAAAGTTCAGTTCCCAGTACTCACAGAGTCCCTAACAAACATCTGTGGCTCCAGCCAGTTCCTGGTCTCCAAACGGCACCACAGGCATACATGCAGGCAAATCACTCATACATGAAAAATTAACATAAAATTTTCTTAAAGAAAGAAGGAAAACCGCTGCCAGTTGCCTCGAAGGAGAGCAAGGAGCCTTCCTGGCTGGCTGTTCCAGGGTCATTTCTTGACTTACTATGATGATAACCACCATTCTCTCCTTTCTGTGTTTGGTTGCATGAAGATCAGAGTTTCTCACAAATTCCCTTTTGGAAAAGCTTTCTCTTGTTTTGAGCCTCTGTGTCCTCTGCTCTGATCTTCCTTTGACCTACAGTCACATTTCCTTCTCTCAAGGAGGTATTACTTATATACCAATGAGAGCACATTTTTAGAGCGGGATGTTTAAAGTCTGCTTTTTTGGTAAGATCAGCGAAAGGAAAGGAAAGAGGACGCTGTGCTGAGCTGCCATGTGTCCTGGTTTTCAGCTATGTGATTTCAAGTCCATGGGAAGTGCTCTTTTCCAGACAAGATCCTTGTGTCTCACAAATCTAAGATGTTTTAAAAACTAAACACACACACAAACTTCAAAGTATTCTTTCCTGAATTTGGTGAGATTATGGGTGGTGTTTTTCTTTTAATGCCCTAAAAATGCAGCCAACATCAGTTCAACTTCTATTTTCTTTTTTTTTTTTTTTTTTTTTTTGGTTTTTCGAGACAGGGTTTCTCTGTGTAGCTTTGCGCCTTTCCTGGAACTCGCTTTGGAGACCAGGCTGGCCTCGAACTCACAGAGATCCGCCTGGCTCTGCCTCCCGAGTGCTGGGATTAAAGGCGTGCGCCACCACCGCCCGGCCTCAACTTCTATTTTCAATGCCTTACTGCTATTCTCATTGAAATGGTGTAAACTTCAGAAGGCTGATTGTGGTGGTTTGAGTGAGAATGCCCCCCCCCCCCCTCCATAGGCTCACATATTTGAATGCTTAGTCATCAGGAAGTGGAACTGTTCGAGAAAGATTAGGATTAGGAGGTGTGGCCTAGATGTGGCTTTGTTGAAGGAAGTGTGTCAGTGGAGATGGGCTTTGAGATTTCAGAAGTCCTTGTCAGGCCCAATCTCTCTCTCTCTCTCTCTCTCTCTCTCTCTCTCTCTCTCTCTCTCCATCTTCCTCCCTCCCTCTCTCCTTCTCTCCCTCTCTCTCTCCCTGAAGATCAGGATGTAAAGCTCTCAGCCACTGCTCCAGTGCCATGTGTGCCAACTTCCCACCATGATGATCATGGAGTAACCCTCTAAAACTGTAAGCCAGCCCCCAGTTAGATGATTTCTTTTGTAAGAGTTGCCTTGGTCATGGTGTCTCTTCACAGCAATGGAACAATAAGACACAGATGGAAATGACAAGTTTGGGACCTCCCTGACTTTTGTAGCCGTCCCTTTGTCTCCATGGGCCCCCATTCCCTTGCCCGTGAAAAAGGAAATACTAAGGCTTGGATTAGCCTTTGTGAAGGTAATCAAAACATCCCAGGCAAAGCAGGATTCATTCCTACCAACTATGCTCTGCCCAAAGTGAATTCTCTGGCCATCCTCATTTATCTTCCACCTAAAGATTCCATAAACAGTCTTTGGTGGAAGATTCAGGAAGGCAAGGCCACTTCAATGAAGGATGGATTCATTTTCGTTAGCTTCTGCACTGTGACGATGACGGAGACACAGTAAATGTCGAGGGATTTCCCTCTCACGTGGCTTCCCTGGTAGTCCCTGCAGCTCGTCTCTCAGGAAGGTTAGATAAACAGCATTGCCTCAGAGGCTTGCCCAAGTGGCCCCCACAGAGGAGTTCTTTGCCTATTCCAGGACACAGTCCCTTCAGAACTGAAAAACAAAAGCACTTTACTGATGCAATGTGCCGGGGAACTAAGTGTCACAAAGGCAGAAGACGCAGTTGGACTGTGGTGAAAAAGTAACACTGCTAAACTGACTAGCTGAAACAAAGGTTGTCTGATCATTTTAGAAGATACACTCCTTTCATTAAAATGCAAAGAAGCAAGAGATATTGAAAAGCAATGTTTACTTGTTGCCACTAGAGTTATCAAATTCCTACTTCCCTATCATGTCAGTGATTACTCAAATAACTGATTAAACTACTCAGAGAAGGATAGAGTTGCTTAATTACAATGTATTTGCCCTAACATCAGCACTTTTTAGAAAGTTCGTATAATTACTTAGCATTCAGGAGGCAAAGGCAGGCAAATCTCTAAGCTCAAGGCCAGTCTGGTCTATAGAGCAAGTTCCATGACGGCCAGGCTACACAGAGAAACCCTGTCTTGAAAAACAAACAAACAAAAAGTTTGTATAATTTGTGTGTGCACACATGTGTGTGTGCAATATGTGTATGCATGTTTGTGTGCAGGTGCAGTCAATCCTCCATGAGTGTGTGGAGGCCAGATGGATCTTCCTGTATTGCTTTCCACTTAGTTTTTTCTGAGACAGTCTCTCACTGAAGTGGGAGTTCATCATTGTGGCTAGACTGTCTGTCCAACAAGCCCAGTCAGTATTAATTTTAAACTAAATAAAACAAACACTTTATGCAAACTTAAATTCATGTAAATGTTTAAATGTGCACATCATTAGCAGAAGCGATCAGTATTCTGCATACACGCAGACACAGTGCTAGTAAAGCCCTACAGGGAAAAGATGGTGTTAGAAAGCTCTCGGATCTAGAAAGCGTCTGGTTTGAGCTGGGCTTACTCAGGCTGCGTTCACCTACAGCCGTCTCGTTCTTACCTTCACAGCTGCTGTGAATCAAATGCAGGCACTCTCCTGCGGCTGCCTATGAATCTGTACTTCTCACCTCCTCAGAGAATGTTTAACATGCACTGTATGCACCGAGGAGTGACAGGTCACATCCTGTATGATGGACACTCACTGAAAGGCCAAACCACCCCACTGTCTCTGATGGGAATCACAGACAACCAGTCTACACTACGGTCTACTTTTCCACATCAACAGCTTGTCCTGGGGCCTCCCCTTTACCACTCAACCTTGCGGGCCTGAATTCACTTTAGAACCCCCACCATGCCTGTCTGTCTATGGCATTAAATAACTCCTAATAAAACTCTTACCCAAAAGGTCAGTCCTCCTCAGTGTCCCTCACGGATCTCAAATCTGAGGACTTTCAGGAAGGAAGACGTTCCAAAGAATTGATTTGATTCACAGGTCATGTTCAATGTTACTGAAAATACAGGAATGGAAGAAAATATTTCAAAGAAAACATCAGAACTTTCTATGGGCATATGTTATTCAACTAAAAATATACTATACAGAGTAGATTTGTTAACAACCATATAATTATACTCAAACTAACATCGTGATCTAAATTTCAGGACTATGTACCCGAGTTTGTATGAAAGAGTTCAGATATCAGTACAAACAGAAGAAAGTTGGCTGCAACAAATTTCTGCTCAGAAGCAGCCACGTGAGTAGTTGGTTCCTTAGCTTTTGCTGGGGGGATGGATTGCAAGTTGGAAATTGAAGCCTCGTGGAAGGGCAGTAGAGCTGATGCTGAATCCAGGAGTATAAATAAACATTGAGATGTTGGGAAATTTGTTGATCTCATCAAGCCTTAGTCACTTTATCTCTGAGCAAAATTAGTAGTGACATAGGAGTGCTGATCATCAAGATGAGTTTAAATATTTAACATCATTGGTACATCATATTTGATAAGTGGCAATGTTTTTATTCATCAAGAAATAATCTGCCATTAAGACAAGTATGGTGGCGCTTACCTTTAATCTCAGTACTCACAAAGCAGAGGCAAGCAGATCTTTGTGAGTTCAAGGCCAGCCAAAGATATACAGTGAAACCCTGTCTTGAAAGAAAGAGAGAGGAGAGTCCCATTCTATTTCTGATATATATACTTACATTTATTATAGAAATAACATATGCACTCTTTTAAAAACCTTTCAAACCATCAAGAAATAATATTTAAGCTGTGGTTTAGAATGTATAGAGACTATGGAAGAGTGCCTATCTAGAATTCAAAAGGCCATGGGTTCAATCCCTAGTACTATAAGAAAAAAATTAAACATTTAACTTACTCAGTATAAGTTTTTAGAAGAAATCATGGGGAGGGAAGGGTTTGTTTCAGGAAGTCAGGAAAGAAACTCAAGCAGGAACTCAAGGGGAAGCCATGGGGGAATGCTGCTTGCTCACTCATGCTTAGTTAGCTTTCTTATCATAGCCCGGGACAGCCTGGCCAAGGAATGGAGCCACCCACAGTGGCTGGCCCTTCTACCTCAATTAACCATCAAGACAACCCTCCACAGACATGCTGTGGTGGTTTGAATGAGAATGGTCCCCACGGGCTCATACATTGAATCCTTGGTCCCCAGATGGTAGAGCTGTTTGGAAAGGATTAGGGAGGTGTGGCCTTGTTGGAGGAAGTGTGTCACTGGAGATGGGCTTTGTGGTTTCAAAAGCTCCTACCATTTCCAGTTAGCTCTCTCTGGCTCCTGCATTTGAGTAAGGATGTAAACTCTCAGCTGATGTGCCAACACCATGACTGCCTGCCTGCTTCTATGCACCCTGCTATGATGGGCATGGACTCAGTTTCTGAAACTGTAAGCCCCCAATAAATTCTTTTTTTCCATAAGTTGCCTTGAACATGGTGTCTTAGCACAGCAATAAAAAAGTAAGACACATGTCCACAGGTGAATCTGACCTATGCAATCCCTCAATTGATTTCTCTGGTGACTCTAGACTATGTCAGGTTGGTAGTTAAAGCTAACTAGGACACCAACAAAGTGGCATGGGTGTGTGAAAAGTTGGGTGTCATTATCTTCCTAAAGAGTTGACCCTATGTGTGTCTCTAATCACTGTTTAGGAAAGGGGGAGACATTTGAAAATGAAACAAACATAGGCACTTATTTTTCTATGATATATTTTCTTTCTATTTAACTTGTTTCTTTTTCAAGATTGAGGGTAAATACATGTATACTTTTTGTTTTGTTTTGTTTTGTTTTTAGAAAAAGTACCATCCCTTGAAACAAAGGTGGTACAACCAGAAACTCCGGCTGCTAAGTTAAGAGGTAAATGGATGTTTGTTTTCATCCCTTTTTTTCTGGAAAAGACAAATTGTCAGTAAGGAACCAACCCGACTTGCATAGTGTTGAGAATGTATATAGGCAAACAGTGCAAATGAAGGGCTTGGGCTGTGTGTGTGTGTGTGTGTGTGTGTGTGTGTGTGTGTGTGTGTGTGTGTTTGAGTATGGTGAGTTATGAGGTCAGGATGGGGGAGGATCTCTGGACTAGAGGAAAACAGAACACACAGCACAATGGTTACAATTTCCCATCTGAATCTATCCTTTCTCTTCAGGAAAGTGGGTAATTAATCCTGAAGAGCGCAAACTAAGTATTTTATTTGAGACAGAGGTAAGAGCTATTTATCATAATAACCAATGCATTGTTCTTATTATAAAGTGACTTATTCAATCTTTAATGTTTTTCTCTCTCTTCTTAATATTTAGTTTAATGAAGAATTTGTAAAATTGTTTGAATCTCATCTAAGAACATTACCCAGCATTGGGCCGCCGCCCATTCTGTCATATAGAAAAGAACTTCCCTATCCGGATATTAACATCGAGGTGACTTCAATTCATATGTTTTATTATTTCTGTAAAGGGCTATATGGGGACTCACAGTGATTGGTACAACAGATGTGAATATACCTTAAAAGAATCAAAGCAAAAGGTCCCTGTACTTGGAAAAGCACTTGGGGCGGTTTCCTACGTCTTAATAACTGAGTGCTGTAGAACATAAGAACCTCTGCCCTGTGGTTCCGGGGGCTAGAAGTCTGGATCCGGATGTCAACAGGGCCACCACTGTAGTGAGTCTCCTTCTTCACTCTTCTCTGCTTTAAGTACTGGAGGGCAGTATGTGGCCATCATTGGCTGGTAGCTGCACCCTGCCACTCTCTGCCTCAGTGTTCACTGGCTTCTTGTTGGGTCCCTAAGTCCAAAGGTCCTTCTCTACTGACAACACTAATAATACTAGATTAAGGTCTGTTCCAATAACCTTATTCTAACTTGGTGACCTTCATACAGACCAAACAGAGTGATATTCCCAGGTGCCAGAAGTTAGACATTCAACATATCTTCTAGGAAGACACAATTCAACCAATGATAATGCGCACAAAGCAAATAAAGGTGAACCTTTGCCATATTTAATGACATTAAGGGACCAGTTAATGCCTGTGTTTGAAAAGCTAGATAAAGGTTTCATTAGTAGTTCCAGTGAGCCAGGGCACCACCTTCCACATCAGAGTGCTGATGGAATGGCTGGTAGAATGATCATTCCCAAACCTAGATAGAATATGATGACCACGTGAAGAGAACACACATTTCTGAATCCCTGTGACAGCTTCTTCTGGGATATACTAGGTGATGTTTTGTGCATGGTAAGGAGACCCTAGTAGTGCCCCAGTATCACAGCACATATGTGGGACTGATGAGACCCTGTGTGAATGCACTGAATGGCAGCTCATTGCCATCATGCACAGCAGTTGAACTGTGTGGTACTCACAAAGGGCAACGTATTAAACACCATGCAACATGTCACCAACAACTATTTGCTGAGCTGTCTGGAAACCTGAAAGTCACTCTATCGACTCTTCAGACTGGACTTTTTACCTGAACAGAGCACTTTCCTTCCTCTGAGTCGGAAGGGCTTATATCCAGAGAAGTCTCTTGAGCTAGTGGGGTTATGGTCTTCCTCTGACTTGCAGAGATGGGCTTGACCATAAGAAAGGCCTTGTGGCTTCTTCTCCAGGGAGATGTCCCGACCTGGGCAAGGCTGGATCCTCTGGCTCTGGAGGCAGACATTGCAGGTAGCATTAACATTAGTTGTATTCAGGAGTGGTAGCAGCTGGTGTATCTAACTGTCCTCTCCATACCTTCCTCATGTGAAGATTCCAGTGCCACTCGTGGTCTTTCAGAGAATCTCCATTTTGCTTCATTCTCAGGCGAAGGAACAAAAGAATCATGAGCCAAGGGATGTACTACCAAATCTCTTGTATAGAAAGAGTCATCATTTCATAATGGCCCTGGACTTTTCCCCTGCATCTCTCCACTGCCTGTAGATCTAAATGTCTTTACTCAAGTGGCCAATCCCTAACTGCACTAACTAGCTCAGTCACCCTTATAACTGGGTACTTGGCCTGTCTCAGAGGATAGTTTAGATGGCAAATACAGATGTGCTAATGCTGTTTATGATCTGAAAGGCATATCTGAATCTCTTCCTAGAGGATTTTTCTGAGACTCAGCTACTTACCTGGCCAGGATCCCCTACAATCATAGGTGTAACAAATTACCAACATGTCCTTACTTCAGGAGCCCCTCAGGGAATTACCGAAGCCACCCTGACTTCAGTTGTGTCTGTTTCCAGTCACCTGCTTCTTGCCTTCCTGGATTGCCCAGTGGAGTTCAGAACTCCAAGCAGGGGTTCCCCTGAAGGACAGATTCTGGTTGATTATAAAAGTTGGCAATTGTACATGATGAATGTGAGCTCTCCCTGCTAGAGATGCTGTTTCAGAAAGTTGTGGAATCTTTATGAGGTGGAGCCTTGTTGGAGGAAATGGGTCACTAGGAGTGGGTCTTGTGGGTCATATAGCCTGTCCCATTCAGGCCCTAGACTCTGCTTCCTAACTGCTAAGGTGATGTACCAGCCACTTCACATTCCTGTGGCCACAGCCACAAGCTACTACTACCACCACACCCTCACTGCCATGATAGACTGTCCTCAAATCAGGAGCCAGAAGAAATTCCTTTGTTTAAATGGTTTCTATCAGGTATTCTTTCTCAGAGACATAAAAGTAGCGAACACCTATGCAGTAATGCAAGGCTTCTTCTTACTAGTACTTACAGGAAAAGTCAACATATCCAAACACCCAAGACTATTTTGTAACTACCTGTAGCTACAAACTATGTATTTCTGTCCCTTCCAGAGGACTCTGCGGTCATCATTTCTGCAGCTTTCTTCTTACACTTGCACAGCTCCAAGGCTCTTAGCTCTGCTCTTCTGAATTGTACCAGAAAGCAGCATTCAAAATGCATCTCGGGCTCCTTACTCCCTTCTGGCCCTTGAGTGGAAGTGATGTCACGCGCTGGACTATACAGATCTTGCTGGCTTGATCCCATCAGCTAGAAGATCTCAGACCCTTAAAAGTTCCCCACCCAGTACTTCTGTGGCAAGTGTTCTCAGATAAATTAGCACGTCCCCATTGCCTTTGTTGTCCTACTAGACGTCCACTGTCCACAACCAGTTCCACCTGAGCCGCTGGGCCTTGGGGCACTTCTTCACTTTCTTTCTCTTTCTCTCCCTCTCTCTGAAGGACGAAGAAGAGCTAGCACTCAAGTGTGAATTTTGTGGAAGTGATCTACAAGCGTTCCCTTCCGATGCGGACATTTACTCTGGACAAAAGCGTGTAAGTTAGTTCTAAATAAGATTTGACTGAGGGACTTGTGTTGTTGTTTAAAATATGTAGTGTTTCCCCCTGTTTCTTTCCCTTATATAATTTTTCTTAAGGATTGTGTGTTAGCTATCAAGGAAATGCAAATCATGACCATCACATTCACTAGGACAGCCATAATTTAAGATTGATAATAATGTGTTGATAAAGCTGCGAAGAAGCTAGCATTATGGCTAGCCTAGTGTTGTGGGACACACATATCATTCCAGAACTCAGGAGATGGAAATAAGAAGGTTGAAGGTTTGAGGCTAGGTTGGTATACATAAGGCCCCGGAGGTGGGTGAGATAAAGGGGGGGAGGGGAGGGAGGAACTGCTGACAAACTTTCAGTCCCATGGTCATTCAAGAACTTTCACAAAAGAGATGAGGGATAGGTTTTCTGTCCCCTGATAACAGGTTTCTTCACTCACACAGTAAGTCAGATCAAGCTGAATTGAAAAAGTGTAACAACAGGTTTATTTGAGCAAGGCAACTCCTGGGCAGGTTCTCCAGTCCCAGAGAGACTGGAGAGGCTCAAGAAGCCACACGCCAAGCTAAAGCACAGAGATTATAAAGCCTGCAGGTGAGGGGTGATAATGTGTCCACCACAAGCTGGGTTTGTGCCCAAGTCTGGTCAAAAGCTAGAATGCTTAGATGGGGACTTGGGCAGCTGGCGGCAACAGGGGAGGAAGTTGCCCTAGTCACCAGGAATGCAGAACTGGCACCTTTTCTTTGTTGGAGATTCTCTGGGAGGGCAGGGTTTGGAGGGAGAGAGGCAGAAATGGAACTTTCTGGATCATGCAGGGGTGAGCTGGAGGTTCCAACCAAACATCCCAACCTCTGTGGGTATATGAGCGCCTGTTCAAATTTGGCTACTTCCTGTTGGCATGGGACGATGTGGGGAGAGGGGAGTTGGGAGTTGGGTTTGTGCTCAGTGGGAGGTATGGGTGAAGAAGCATTCAGTTAACTGTCTCCCTAGAGACCTCATAAATCTGTTCCCGGAAGAAGCAAGAAGGCAAGTTGCTAGGAGAAAAACCCAGATTATTACCACTTGTCCTGTGAAAGGGGCTAGCCACGGGAAGAGTGGAGACTGCCAGAAAGAGTGGAATGGAGGTGTGCCCTGGTTGTATTGGCAAAGTTCTTCAGACAATTGGTAGAATGACCCAATAATAGTTTCCACCAGGCCAGATTTGTTGACACAGTAGCAGAACTCTTTCCCCAGGAACATGCAGGTGTCTGACAAACAGCTGGAACAGATTTACACCTTGGTGTCATTGCAAAAGCTACAGTTTTGGGTTAAAAGGCATGAATATTTTTCCTATGTCTAGAGAGCCTGGTTTTAGCCAGATGAGACACACCTTTAAGTCTATACTTAGAAGACAAGCAGAGGAAATTTAAAATCTTGAACTTGTGATTGAATAGTAAGTAGTCGGTGCTTTGTCGGTTCATCAGAACTCCATTTATCAGTGCTGAAACTCTGAACCTCCGAACGTCCAGGGTAGTAATAGCATAGAAAGGGGACAGAAGTCTAGGCAAAGCAGGACAATTAATTCCCCAATGTCCTGGATGTCCACAGTCTGGACAGAGACTTGACAGCAGCTGAAGTGAAAGGCAGTTTTGTCACATTTAAAACAAGCTCCAGGTGGAGGTTTTTCTGCACCCATCCATTTTCACCCACCAAAAAAAAAAAAAAAAAAAAAAAACCAAACAAACAAACAAAAACAAAACTGCCTTTTATCTCAACTGTAAAACTAACATTTTCTTTTAAAGATGTTTAAGATCTCTCAACTGTGTGATCTGGTAATACCCAACTAAAGTACCTTATTATTTCAAGAATAAAGAGACACAGAGCACTACCATAATTTGTAGAAGACAAAACCAAGTTTCATCAGTGTAAACAATTCAGTGTCTCTAAAATCAGTACCAAGTAGATTACTCTTATGTTGCAAAATCTGGGTGCCAAAAAAGATACGTCACTGTTTATGAATGCATAGCGGTACAGCTTTAATACCCCATTAAACCAACACTGTTTTATATCCTATCTTTCATAAAACTCATTTTCAGGACAGGACAGGAATTCTCATACAAAAATCCATCCTAATCCAAAATATCTTGGAGACGTGTTGTCTCCCTGGTAGGCCCACTCCATGTGGTCACCTTTAATCAAGATGGTGGTGAAGTCACATGACATCCCTCTTCTCCAACCCTAGTCAAAATGGTGACTGCCCACATGGCTTCACTTAAGATGGTGGCAGACCACGTATTGTTTCCCAGAACAGCTGCAATTTGGAGTTACACGTTTTAAGTTAACTTTCTGTGACAGATTTTTAACCATAAAAATTAGGGTTCTGTTAGATATTTTTTAGTAGAAGAGCATAAAACAACTTTAATATTTTTTATATCCAAATGACATACGAATCTCTGTTATTACATCAGATTTGGTGACCAGAAAGCCCAGAGGCAAATTCTGAGCCTAGGCAGCTATTTGCAATAGTAATAGCTGAGTTTTCACCAAGACACAGGTAACATAGTAAACTCATGCATCCCAGACCAGTCAGAAACAAATATGCAGTGGCCACACACACTTACACATTTAACTGAGCCTGATACAATTTTGTGTGGCTCCATATCTGCAAGAAGCCTTACAGGCACAGAGCCATCCACCCATACAAAATAGACAAAACTTTTCTAACAACAAGACAAAACTTTCTGCAGGAAACCGACTTTGTTACAAATTATATAGATTTTAAACCATGTAGGGGACAGGTAACAAAGTAGAACATTGTTGGGGTGGTCAGGCTGGCTGCAAGGCAAGAGAAAACCAGAAGAAAGAAGAGAAGGGGGGTATCCATGTGGGGCAGTGGGCCAAAAGAGCCAGAGCCACGTGGAATACAGCAACCTAGAGCATAAGCTGTGGATCAGATACATATCTGAAGTACACTCAGTAAGCCAGTGAGATGTACCAAAAACATGCATCATGTGCCACCAGCATTGGTCAACTGAAAGTGTGTGATTCATCTCCATGAGAGCACCTAACTGCACATTGGATAAGCAAAGCTTCAAAGGTTGAGTGAATTGGTCTAGAAGATTTTGCCCCATTCACCACATTCATCTGACCTCTTGACAACTGACTACTACTTCTTTAAGTATTTTGACAACTTTTTGCAGAGAAAATACTTCCACAACCAACATAATGTGGAACATGCTTCCTAAGAGTTTGTTGAGCATGTGGTTTTTTTGTTTTGGTTTGTTTGTTTTTGTTTGTTTGTTTGGTTTTTGGTTTTTTGAGACAGGGGTTCTCTGTGCAGCTTTTCCGCCTTTCCTGGAACTCACTCTGTGGCCCAGGCGGGTCTTGAACTCACAGAGATCCACCTGCCTCTGCCTCCTGAGTGCTGGACTTAAAGGCATGCACCACCACTGCCCAGTGAGCATGGGTTTTTATGCCACAGGATTAAACCAATTTATTTCTCATTGCAAAAAAAGTGTTTATTGAAATAATTTCTATTTTGATTAATAAAGATGCATTTCAGCCCAGTTACAATAATTTGAAAGTTGTGGTCCAAAACTACAATCCCTTTTGCACCAACCTGCAAAGGTACCAGTAATTTTCTTTCTAGATTTATACCCAAGAAAATGGACAACATGTATCTATACAAAACTTCTAAACAATCAATCTTGACTCTTAATACACAGAAGTGGAAACATGTATCAGTACAATTAGTTATTATTCAGCCAGACAAAATAGAAGTCTTAAAACATGCTACAAGATAGATAAGGCCTGAAAACACTATGCTAAGTGAAAAGGACAATCACACACTAGCATGGTTCCAGGGGCATGAAGTGTGGAAAAATGGGCAAATGTGGAGAGACAGAAAGCAGGTTAAGGGCTGGGGCCTAGCTGGTAATGCTTTCCTAGCATGCCCAAAGCCCTGGGTTTTATCTCTGCTACTAAATAAGTGGGGGAAGTGTTAATCCCAAAGATGGGAGGAAAGAAAGACCACTGACCCAAATCATCACAGCCAAATTAATTAAAGCAAACTTTTTTTTTATTCATGCATACACAGGTTGACTCCCCCTAAGGCAAGGTTCAAGAAGTCAAAATTGGATGTGAGGAAGGCAAGGTTTTTAATAGCTCATGGGTAGGGGTTCCCGAATGGGGGATTGGCGGCAAATAGGTGGGATTATGGGAGTAGAACATAAGCATAACAAGTTAGTCAAAATGACCTCCTGAAACAAAGACAGGATTTCAAGGGGGTCTTAACAACAGGTAGTAATAAGAAGGTAGTCATAACAACCCTTTTGAAACAAAGGTAGGGTTGCAAGATGGCTATTAGCCTTTTGAAACAAAGACAGGATTGCCATTCCTGATACAGGCAGTACAGAACCATTTGTAGTTAAGGTTACAGGTGTGGCATAGCCCAAACCTTGAGAAACAGGTTTAATCATAAATAGAAATGAACCTAGTTTGATGGCTTTCAAGCCTAAGATGGAGGCAGGCTGGTTCATCACATGGTGGCACATGCAGTATTCCCAGTGCTTGGAAGGTGGAGACAGGGAGATCACAAGCTCAAGGTCATCCTTGGCTACATAGAAAGTAGACAGGAATACATGAGTTGCTGTCTCGAAAACAAAGGAGGAGGCAGATTAATGATTTGTGGCAGCTCTGAGGAGAGGAATGACTTAATGGGTACAGGTTTTATCTGAAATGACTGGTAATGGTTGCTCTGAAAATACTAAAAACCTGCTGAAATAACTCTTTTAAGCAGATGAATTGCATCACGGTGAGTAAACTTTATCTTACCAAAGCTACTAAAAGAAAAGAGTTATGGCCTCTTGTTATCCATACCTCAGTGGTGGTTTGAGGGTTTTACCCCTCTGATCCTATTCACCTATTACCCATAGCCTCTTTGTCTTTCAGGCTTGCTGTTGTCTTCAGTTACAAAATCTTCTTGATTATATCAATGAGGAAAGGCTAAACATCAAAAGAACTAAAACGGACTTAATAAGTATTAATCCTCATGCAGCCCATGGCAGTGAGGTTGATAGACTCAAGGCAAAGGAAAAAGCCATTCAGAGGTAATGCAGGGCCCTGGTGCTAAGCCAGACAGGACATGCTAACTGAAGAGCATTTTATAAAATGAACCTTGGTTTCTCAAAATATATAATTATGAGGGTGTGTTTCTTATAAAGAAATAGAAATGAGCTAAAGCAAGCTCATTATAATTCCCGGTGGATATTATGAGATTCAAAAGTTCCAAGAGGCTCAGTAGTAGAATGCTTTCCTTGTGTACATAAGGCCCTGCAATGAATCCCTAGTACCACATATACAGATACTAAATAATAGTAGTAATAATAATGATGATGATATTAGAGACAGGAACCTAGTGAGCTCACTGATTTAAAGTATAAATTGTCAATCATAAAGTATCAGGGCAATCCAAAATCCCTATGCTAGAGAAATTTGCCCTATAAGCTAAAGAAATGAAAGTTAGTAGTTAGACATTATAATAGAACTTGTAGTTATATTAGATATGTTTTAAAAATTGAGCAGATATATTTTAGACAGGTCATCTTCAAACCCTTCAGAGATCTACAGAATATGGCATTTAAAATGTTTTAATAACTTAGAAGATTTTTCTTTTTTGAGACATGTCGGCTCCTGGCAGTACCAATCTACTTCAGAGAAAATATGGGCATTGAAGAAACTGCGTATGGAGTTAACTTTCATTGTGGCAAAAGTTAACCACTGGACAACAAAGTATCCTTGAATAACAGGACAAAATGGACAGACAGGACATGAAACAAAGGACTACTGATTCTTGCCAAAACAAGTGTGGTTATGGCTTTATCAAAAGGCATCTTCCGAGGCCAGGACAATATGGCACCATCTCTGAAGTGGCCTTCGCAATTCGAAAAAGGTACGGTGCCCTTTTCTTCGAAGGCAGCTGAACAGGCAGTGGGCGATGGCTTCTGATGTGCAATGGAACAGCAGCTGAAAGAGTTATTCTTGAAGAGTAACTAAGCTCAAGCCTCTCAATAGTAGACTGGCATTTGATAGAGGGATGTGGAGAAGAACGGGATGCTGAGATGAAGCCATATATACACAGCCAAGAAGAATGGACAGCTGAATTAAAAAAACCATCAACAATTTCCAGAATTTAAAATCCTGAATCATGACATGACACTAGTGGAATTCAGGTGTTTCTGGTACATGGACTGCTCTCACCCAATGTGAGGTTGAACTGTTGACCTTGTGTACATCCTACTTCACAAATGAGTCTGTCAGATATGCTAAGCCTATAGGCTGAAGATGATGCCCCAGCACTGCGGAGAAACCTCAGGTGACTGTCCAGGCAGCTGGCTGTTTCTGTCAACTCACAAATTTTTTGGAAGTTGCTTATGTGCACTTCCTGTTTTTATTTTTGTTAGCTAATATTATTTCCTTCTTCGGTCTCTGAGGGAGTTGAAGATTAGTTAGTTATAGTTGAAGGTTAGTTAGTTATAGTTGAAGACTAGTTAGGATAGAAAGTGAATTAGGTACATTTTGGACTTACCAAAATAGGATAGATAATGGAATTATTTTCTCTGAATTTGTCAAATAAAAATGGACTAGACATTGTTTAGACATTTATTACTTGTATATATTGTATATAGTTATTGTACTTTTGTATATAGTTTTTCTTTTGTTAGTTATAACCTTTTTCTTTTTTTCTTTTTATTAAAATAGAAAAGGGGAAATATGGTGGTATTTTACTTGTACTGAAATGTGATTTTAATTGTATGTTAATAAATAAAGTTGCCTGGGGGTCAGAGCTATTAGAGCCATAGCAAGAGCATGGCGGTGGTGGCGGTGCACGCCTTTAATCCCAGCACTTGGTAGACAGAGCTAGGTAGATCTCTGTGTGTTCAAGGATACAGCCAGCATTGGAGACACACGCCTTTAATCTCAATCCCAACCATAGAAGACCTGGAAGTCTCTACAGACAGGCAGTGACAAGGGCAGTCATGTGTTTGGGTTTACAACCAATGAGAAGGCAGAACAGCTAGACTATATAAAGACATACACACAGGAAGTAGGTCCCTTTTCAGAGAGCTCTCTTGGCTGAAGAGGATCCCTGAAGCAGGAAGGGTAAGGCTCTTAGCTCTGACCTCTTGGCTTTCTTCTCTGAATCGGCTCTGTGTTTCTTATTTAATAAGACGGTTGGTTACATCTACAATAAGCCCACTCACATACTCTGTTACAGAAGCTGGATTCGTAAGTGATAGCAGATTGAAATAACAAAGGATGGTACTTGAGCCACTGAAATTTGTAGTACACTATTCCCACTTTCAAGTACAATTCAGATTTATGTTTGACGGTTTTGATTTTGTAGGAAACAAGAACGTCAGATGGCCAGACATTTTGCAATAGTATCAAATGAACAGAGTACCCCGTCATCTGATGAAGGTAAGGATGTTGTCATGGAAGTTGTTGTCATGGATGCCATATAGCATCAGAAAGCTCAGACGTTCAGCCAAGGCATAAAATTGTTAAAATAATATTGGAAATGTTCATTTGTAAGTATCATAAAGCCTGTATCTGGTGAAATGAGTCAAGAAATAGGGGGTTTAGGCTCTTTGGCTTTAGAGTTCTTGGTCCTTTGTCTCATCATTATTGGCTGAAATAAACTAGTAACATCCTCAGAGCCCTTAGATAGTGGCTGAGCGTTATCAAATTTGTGTCTCTTACGTTAGGAAGCATACCTTGCACTCTTTTCTCAAACTCAGATGGGGAAAACCTGTCAAAAGACATCTAAATACTTTCTTCTTGTACTCACCAGGGCTGGTCAGTGTGGGTACAGAACTGGAGCAGTTGAAGGAGAATTGAATTTAGCATCAGAAATCATAGCTTTATATGTTTCATGACCTCCTCACAGGCCATCTGATTTAGAAGAAATATTTTAATTTTCTCAGTCAGCATCAAGTTCCTTCTGTTATTGAAAAGGTACTTCAGGTAGTCAGTTCAGTTGGTATTTTTGTAACTAAATATCTAATATTATAGGGGGTTTCTTGAAATTCACTGTTTCTTACTAAAACTAAAGGCCTGGTGGCATACACCTTTCATCCCAGCACTCCAGCCAGGCAGATTTCTGGGAGTGTGAGACCAGCTTGGCCTCCACAGTGAGTTCCAAGCAGTCAAGGCTATATAGTTCAGACCCTGTCTCCTCAAAAAAAAAGGAAAGGAAAGAAGGAGTGAGGCTAGAGGGAAGGAAGAAAGAAAGGAAGGAAATAACTCAAAACCTAGAAATTCCACAGAATGAAAACTCAGAGGAATTTTCATTTTTTATTTAATAGAAATCTTTTATCATTTTTTAACCAAAAAACCTCCTCCCTAATTTTAATTTAATAAAGGTCCTTACTTTTCTTCTTTTTAAAAAAGTGTGATAAATCAATGCATTTTCAACAGGGTTTTAATTTTATTTTATTATGAAGTTTTTTTTTTTAAGGCAAAGCATGCATGTACTTTCCTGTGATTTTTTTTTCTCCCACTAGATTCAAAGCACTTGAAGACAATTTCTTACCAGCTTTCTGTGGATATACCAAAGAAGAAGATCATTGAAGACACAGATGATATTCAGATTAGTAACGTCTCCATCTTTTGCTGTGATTCCAGGAAAACATGTGGAAAGGTAATTCTTTTTCAATTTTTGTTTTTGATTTTGTAAACCAATTTTGCTTCAAACATACAAAGTTCTCATGGATGTTCCATTGCTATCTCTCAGAAATAATTGGTACAGACCTGGGATTGCAACTGCTTCTACACTTTTTGTCTTACAAATGTTCTTAGTTTTAAAGCCTTTGGGCCTTAAAATGTGACCATTGCAAATTAAAGACCATCTGGAGCTGGGCAGTGGTGGTGCACACCTTTAATCCCAGCACTCAGGAGGCAGAGCCAGGAGGATCTCGGTGAGTTCGAGCCAGCCTAGTCTACTGCGTGAGATCCAGGACAGGCACCAAAACTACACAGAGAAACCCTGTCTCAAAAAACAAAAACAACAACAACAAAAAAAACACCAAAAAAACAAAACAAAACAAAACAAAAGACCATCTGGAACTCTTAGAAAGAGGGAAGAAAAATCACCCAAGCCCTAACCACTTCCTCAAAACTGTGTTAGCATTTGAAGTGTTCTGTTTGTACTGCACCTCCATGCTCCAGGAGTTAAAGAGGAAGAACTTTAGGGGCCATTCTTCCCTTACATGACCCAAGGCAATCTCCACCAGGTTCTAAGAAGAGTGTATTTTACAAATATTGAGGGGAGTCTTTGTGCATTGATTGATTTATGTAGAAGTATAAAGAACCAGAATTACCAAGACACTCTGGAAGAAAACCAAAGGAAGATGTTGACCTCTATGGAATAGAGTGATTAAGCAAGGGTGATACTGGGGAAGGGTCAACAGAGCCACAGCACAGTCACTGATCAGATCCCAGCAAGCATGTATTCATAACCGATGACAGCAGTGCCCACTGCAGAGGAGTGAAGAAAGAACGCCTTTTTAATGTGTAGTTCCAGGTCAGCTTGGACTGGGTGGCCATATGCTGTATTAATGTAATTGGAAAGACCACCTCATACCACATGTAGAAACCAATTTTAAGGAGATTAAATGCTGAAATACAACATACAAACTATAAAGGTTTTCTTTTCTTGTTTTGTTTTGTTTTTCAGGGCAGAGTTTCCCTGTTTAACAGCTCTGACTGTGTCCTGGAACTCGATTTGTAGACCAGGTTGGCCTCAAACTCATAGAGATCCACCTGCCTCTGCCTCTGTGATTAAAGGTGTATGCCACCACTGCCCAGCTTCCTTTCATTTTTTAAATGTATAACATTGGGTATTTCATATGTGTGATCATATTTTATACATGCATACAGTGTGTTTTGATCATATTTATCTCCAGCTCTTCCTCCTAATTCTTCCCAGACCCAATTCTCTTCCCCCTCCAACCCTTCCCCACATCATGTCTCTTTTATTTTATAACTCAGTTCAATTTGTGCTGCCACAAAGTATTTTCTTAACAGAACAGAATAGAGTTATACCTAAAAGCAGTATTTGCTAAGGATTTGATTATTAAAATTAAAATTATGAAAAACAAGCCAAAAATGAAGAATCGTTTAAATTACATTTGGCATATAAAAGTCTTATCCTAAATTTATGTAGAATTTTTATAAATCAAGATGAAAAAGTTAATTTTTCCAGGTGTGGCAGTACACACCTTTAATCCCAGCATCAGGAGGCAGAGGTAGGCAGACCTCTGTGACTTCAAGATCAGCCAGGTCTACAGATCGAGTTCCAAGTGAGCCAGGGCTATATAGTAAGATCCTTTCTCAGAAACAAAACAAACAAACAAAAAAGTGAATCTTATAGAAAAGTGAGCCCTTTCCCAAAACTCAAATAGAAACTTTTCACAAGAGAAAATGCAGATGACTAAAATCATATGAAAGCCTGCTCAACCCTTCTTAATCACCTGAGAAATGAAAATTCAGTCCATACTAACAATACTGGTGAAAACATAAACTCTGATAGTGCTAAGCTTTGGGGAGAGGACCAAACAGTAGCTGACAAGCATTTGCCTGTGACATGTGATGTGATACAGAATTGTAAAGTCATCGCAGTGGAACTATACCCTACAGGAACTTAATACCAACATGCACACATAAGAATGTTCGAGCAGTCAAAAGTAGGAGAATCCCACGTTCTCTTACCCACAATGAGTAGTGACAAATAGAAAACCATGCACAAGGGAAAGTCATTGCACTGCAACTACTCAATGAGAAGGATCTTTCACTGAGAAGAAAGAAGACATTACAATTACAACAGATGAGCCTATGTGTCTTAGTTAGGGGTTCTATTGCTGTGAAGAGACACCATAACCACAGCAACTCTTATACAGGAAGGCATTTAACTGGGGATGGCTTAGAGGTTCAGAGGTTTAGTCTTTTGTAATCATGGTGGGAAGTACCCTGGCATGCAGGCAGACATGGTGCTGCAGAGGTAACTGATAGTTCTACATCCAGATCTGAAGGCAGCAGGAAGAGACTGTCATATTGGGTCTAGGTTGAGCATCTGAGACCTCAAAGCCCACCCCCAGTGACACACTTCCTCCAACAAGGCCAGATCTCCTAATAGTGCCTCTCCCGATGGGCCTATGAGGGCCATTTTTATTCAAACCACTACACATCATATATGGAGCATTAAAAAATGGGAAAAGCTAAATGATAAACACACAAAAAATACACAGAAATTATCATAAAATCATACTGTCAGATGCATGCATCTTGGCAGAGTGTTGATACTGTGCTTGGCCCACGGAGGTGGACACACTGGGGTGGGCACACTGGGCTGTTCACACTGGGATGGGCCCATCATAGCTTCAAAGGTGAAAGAAAAAACAAGGCCATCATTTCTGGATCAAACAATAGGTTTTCAAAGTAAATGACAATGTTTATCCCAAAACTTAGATCATTTCACCCTAGGAATTCTTGTTCCATTTTAGTATATATCAAGATCAGGAATGCATAGAATTAAACCAAATCCTCAGTTTATCATAAATATTATCAGATACAAATTCATTTTTACATTGAACTTCCATATAAAAGTGGTTGAACTTGGAACCTAATAGTTCTCTTCCTGTGTCTTCACTGGCTTATTGCTGGGGATGTAGCTTGGTAGAAAGTGCTTGCCTAACATGTGCAGGGCCCTAGGTTCAATCCCTGACACAGAAAAAAAAGTGAATAAAGTAGTGTAGAGAGATGTTTCTTTGGACCACCAGGTCACAAAAAATGGCATGGAGACTTACTATTAATTACAAAAGCTTGGCCTATGCTTAGGCTTGTCCCACAAGCTCTTATAACTTAAATTAACCCATTTCTATTCATCTACATGCTGCCATGTAACTCATGGCTTTTACCTTTCCTCCTCATGACTTGCTCTCTCTCTGCATCTGGTTCATGACCCTGCCTTTTTTCTTCCCAGAGTTCTCTCTGTCCCCAGAAATCCTGCCTAACCTCTTCCTGCCTAGCTAATGACCATTCAGCTCTTTATTAAACCAATCAGAAGGCTCCTTGGCAAAGACACATCTTCACAGTGTGCAAAAAGATTATTCCACAACAAAGTAGGTCAGATTTATAAAATAATACTTACCCCTTCGTTGTTCAGCTAAGCAGTTCCACAGATATGTATAACCGTTGCAATAAGGATATGAATGTTGTCATTGTGATGTGACTTTTTCTTGTCTCCTTTTGTTTTTTATGGTAATAAATGATATGAAAATAAAACTTTCAACTAGGTAAGTGATGAGAAGGTTTGTTAAGTTATACTGCAGGGATTCAGGATGACCTGTAAATCGTTGCTGCTGACCCTCCCATGTTGTTGAAGCCAGGCTAAGCACATTAAGTAAAGAAATGGTTTGCACCATAGTGCTCCTTGCATTAAGCTCAGCAGCCAGCAGTTAATGTTGTTTGCTGCACACGTAGGTCATGAGGAACGAGCTCTTGGAGAAGCACTACAAGAATGGAATAAAGTTTCTCACCTCCTTTCCAGATGGGACAACACAAATATTGTATCCTTTCTTTCCGTAACTGATTGTATTGGCTTTACTTCCCAAGAAGAAAAACAGACAGGGCCTGATGGCATAGGCTTGTAGTCTCTGCTACTTAGGAGGCTGAGGTGGGGGAGGCTGAGGTGGGGGAGACTGAGGTGGGGAGGCTGAGGTGGAGGAGACTGAGGTGGAGGAGGTTAAGGTGGAGGAGGCTGAGGTAGAGGAGGCTGAGGTGGAGGAGGCTGAGGTGGGGGAGACTGAGGTGGAGGAGGCTGAGGTGGGGGAGACTGAGGTGGAGGAGGCTGAGGTGGAGGAGGCTGAGGTGGAGGAGGCTGAGGTGGAGGAGCCTGAGGTAGGGGAGGCTGAGGTGGAGGAGGCTGAGGTAGGAGATAAAGCAGGAAGATAATAAGTCTGTGGCCTGCCTGGGCAACTTGGAGTGAACCTATCCTAAAACCAAAAATAAAAAAAGAGCTGAGGAGGAGGTCTGTGGCAGACCACATGTACTAGGCCTTAGTGTCAATCCCAAAAGAAAATGAAAGGAGGGAGGGAGGGAGGGAGGGAGGGAGGGACTGAGGGAGGGAGGGGTAGACAGAAAAGACAGGACAGAAAAGAAAGAGAATGGGGGTGGTACAGAAAAATACATCCTCCCGGAATTCTACCACCCAGAGAAGAGCGGATAACATTGGAAATGCACCTCCCCTCACGCTGCCTTCCAGTCCATATGCTTACCTACATACAGAGTTCTCTGAAATCAACTCTAGAACATACTTCACTCTGCAGCTGGTTCTTTTATGTAATGTTAAGAGGATGTCACATTCAATAGACACTGAGACACGGCACTTTTTGTACCACACAGTGCGAGTTCTGTGAGCCCATTTCAGCAGTGTGGACAGCTCTGCCTCACCTGCTGCACACTTACAATTCATTTCCTTGAATTAAATACCTAGGAGAAATTCTAGGTAAGAAATGTGGACATTTCTAGCTCTGATATTTTTTACCCCCAAACTACAGACCGATTTATACACTCATGAACCAAAGGTCATTAGCCACTTCATCATAGGCGACTCAGATAGCCAAGCCATGGAGTTTTGGCATAAAAGTCACCCAGTATCTCTGGAAAAAAGAAAAAAAACAAAGAGACTTTTTTTTTTTTTTTTTTTTTTTTTTTGGTTTTTCGAGACAGGGTTTCTCTGTGTAGCTTTGGAGCCTGTCCTGGAACTCACTCTGTAGACCAGGCTGGCCTCTGCCTCCCAAGTGCTGGGATTAAAGGTGTGTGCCACCATTGCCCAGCTAAAGAAACCTTTTTCATGAACCGAGTGCTTCCTGTGGAACAAAGTCATTTTCAGTCAGTGTCCCAAATGTTTAGTCAAATCCTAACAAGAAACCAGAAACATTTCGTTCATGGTCGCAAATGACAAAGCTGTAGTCCCCTGTGAGAAAGAATCGAGGTTTTGTTTTTGTTAAATAACTTGCTCAACTTTTATTAGTAATTGTTTCATATTGTGACTTTAATTCTTAACTCTCTTAGAGACTGTGGCTGACTTTCAGAAGGATTCAGAATCAGTCTGGAATTACGTTTGTCTCTGAACAGCCTTTGCATATAGACCTGATTACCATCGAGATATGCTTAGTGTGCTTTTTTATGCTAGTGTGAATGGGACGGTTTTCTTAATTTCATCTTCAAATGGTCTCTGCTAATATGAAGGAATTGAATTGATTTTGTCTTGCAGCCTACAGTTACAGTCCACCTGAACTCACTTACTGGCTCTAAAATTTTGTTTTGTGGTGTCCCTAAGGCTTTCTGCGTACACAGATCCCAAATACATTTTTTACCTTCCTTTCCAATCTAGACATTTTCCTTTCCTAAACTTTCCATGGTTAGAACGTTCATGTAAAATTGACTAGAAGGGGCCAGCAAGATGGTGGGTAAAGGGATTTTCCACCAAGCCTGATGACCTGAGTTCAACTTGCCAAGACCCACATTGTGGAGAGAGAACCTAGTCCTGCATGTTGTTCTCTTACCTCTATATGCACTTTGTCGCGCGCGCGCGCGCACACACACACACACACACACACACACACACACACACACACACACACACACGAGCGCGCACGCACACACATATATACACACACACAAATAAATAAATAAAATTGTAATAAGGATATTAGTCATTGGATGCCATGGGCATGGACGTGGTTTAGGTTCTCATCTGAACAGGAAAGCATACCATTAAGTAGAATGTCAGCCTGTGGCATCTCTGTGACTACCCTTTATCAGGCTGAAGATGTTCCAATCTATTTAAAGACTAAGTCTTTTTATCATGAAGCAGTAAAGGTTTTTCAGATGATTTTTCTCTACCTATTGAGATGACCACACTCTTTCTGATTTTTATTCTACTAATGTGGTTTATTTTACTTGTTAATTTTCAGATGTTTAACCAACCTTCTATCTTTGGGGATAAATTTAATTTTATCATGATGCATAATCCTCTTCCATATTTCCAATTCTATTTCTTACCATTTTGTTGGGCATTTTTACCTTCTATAAATATAGTTTGATCCATATAAAAGCATACAATTCTTTTGTATTAAAATAGAGACTTTTTCAGAATGCTTCATAATTTCAAAAAGCTCCTCATAAATTAATTTTATTCCACGCATAGTCCAGGGTCACTAGAAATGCTCACAGGACCTTATCTGACCTCAGCTATCCATCTGGAAATCTAGCCATTATCCAAGTGCCCAACAAGACAAATGGTTTCACTTGTATTGTCCAAGAAGACACATCCAGCAGCCCCGCTATCCTGGCAGTGCTCGACTCCTCTGGGAGAAGCTCCTGCTACCATCCAAACGGGAATGTCTGGTAGGCTTCTCGGTCCTCTATGCCATTTTGGTTTTTGATTATTTTTTCACTGTTGTTGTTGTTTAATTGTATCTTTTCTCTTCGATAATAAGAATGGCTTTAGAAAGATTTATTTAAGTTAGTGGTCTTTGGATAGTAATATAACTCAGAGACACTGTGTTGCTTACTGCTTGAGATACATTCATCGCTCCTAAGCTTCCCGCAGCCATGTCAGATGACAATACACAAACCTCTGGAGCCACAAAGCCTGTAAAGGCACTTCCATGCAAGCCTGGCAATCTGAGTTCAACCCCTGGAATCCACAGAAAGGTGAAAGGAGAGGACTGACTGCATGGAGTCACTCTCTGACCTCTACACGCATGCTGTGGCTCACAGGCAACCCCCACCATGTTTACCTCATACATACACACATAATAATATAGAGAAAGATTTAAATCTCTATAGAAAGATCGTGATTTCCCTTTAATTTATCAATATATCCACTCTATAAGTTCATATTATTTCATTTAATCTGAAAAAAATTTGGGTTCTAACTTCAAATAAAATGTAAGCCTTTCAGAAAGGCTTAAATACACACACACACACACACACACACACACACATATTTAAGACACAGCCTTACTCTGTAGCCCTGGCCAGACTGGAATTCCCTCAACAGAGCGGACTGGCCTGAAATTTTTGACCCTCAGCTTTCCAAGTGCTAGATTACAAGTATAAGTCACTATAGTTGGCTTTTCAAATTATCCGTAGATATAATCTTACTTGGGAAACTCTGCCAATAACTAGCAAAGTTTGGACCTTAGCAGTGCTGACAAAATGGGGACACAGTGAAGTCTTTATATTTCTAGTCCATGGTAACACTAGGTGTAATGGGAAGTGTCTACTTATCCTTCAGGATTCAATAGTAAGTCTGTGTCACATTTGGTGGAGTGCTATAATAATTATCACCTATATTAATTCAATCAGCTGTGGCTACCAGATGATTTCAGGGATCCTCAACCCCATGAGCTGAACTCTTGGGTATTTTGACAGGTCTTTGACATTCCCAAAGCCCCCTCTCTCTGCCTCTGTGCAAGTCTGTCTTCTCTGTGAACTCAAGTTCCTTGAAAGCATATGTAGCTGGAGTTTTCCTGTGTCCACCTGGCTCCTGCAGCCACTCAGACCCAAGTAAACACACAGAGACTTACATTACGTATAAACTGTATGGCCATGGCTTCTTGCTATCTAGTTCTTATATCTTAAATTAACCCATTTCTATAAATCTATACCTTGCCACGTGGCTCATGGCTTACTGGGAACTTTACATTTTACTTCTCATGGCAGCAGCGGCTGGCAGCGTCTCTTGACTCAGCCTTCCACCTCCCAGAATTCTCCTCTCTGCTTTTCCCACCTATACTATACTTCCTGCCTGGCTACTGGCCAGTTGGCATTTTATTTATCAATCAATCAGAGCAACACTTTCACAGCATACAGAAAGACATCCCCAGCAGGCATATCCTGAATCTTTATCCTTACACAGCTAAATCTATGGTATAAACTCCAAGAATAATTAAAGAACTGGTTCAGAGCAATTTAGTCAAATATTACTGTGTGAAATCACCCCCTTTCCAGATCCAGTAAGGTGTCCTCTTGGTTTTTCATTTCTTTTGCTGTCAGGTTAGTATCCAGTCAGTCAGTGCTGGAGAAACAGGGTATTAGTTACCTTACTCATGGGGAACCTCACGGGCAGTTCACACAGTTAAACCTTCTAAGGCATGGAAGGGATGGTTACCTCCACTGAAAAGGGTAAGGGAGCATAGGAACGAGGTTGCCCAGTAGAATGTCATGGTGATGAGTGCCACAAAACCTCAGAGCAAGCATGACTAATTGTAATATAGTAAATATGGGGTCCTGGCAATGCCACATTGTTGGAGAAGTCCACTTGATTTAAGTCACATCTTTGCTCTGCTGTAGAACTTTTCTCCACTGCAGTGAACTCAGAAATACCCCTGAGCCCCTCCTTTCCACACCCAGACCCCAAAAGCCTCATATTCAATGGCTGGTGGTGCAGCCCAGTGGGAGAGCTCATGCATAGCATGGCCAAGCCCCTAGGTTCAGTCACCAGCACCCTCTAACCCCCCAAAAACCTAAGATAAAAGGACGGGCATATTTGACTATTAGCTGTGTCAGCTCTCTTCAACAAGGACTAATCCAGGCACCCCCTAAATTGACATCCACAGTCTTGCATTTGGGCCTGATGAATCTAAGCACTGGTCCCTTCTCTGTCAGGAACAGCTTCCCCTCTGTATTCTTTTTTTCCCCAAGATGAAACCTTCAGGGCTTCCTCCTCATACTCTCAGCCTTTTTTGGACCCACTTCAGTTAATCAGTATGCTTCAATTTGAACCCAGTACTTCAAATAATGTAAAGTGAGGAGTATTACTTCTAAAGTTATTCTAAGGATTCCACCACTCATATGCTGTGGTTAGGAAGTTACAGGGCTAATTCAGCCTTGAATTATAGAGCTACTGTTGGTAGGGCTTTTTTGTGTCTGTTTTTTAAACTAAGGTCTCACTCTGGCAATCATCCCACCACAGCCCCCTGAATGCTGTGATTTAAGTATGAGCCACCACACACAGCTCTACTATTGATTATTCTAATTTCCTTCCAGGGTATACATCAACATCTTGGGAGGCCAATACTTAGATCAAGCTGGCAACAGAATACGAACTTGGAACTGGTCAAGTTCCATGCCTGCCTCATCCTTTGTTTCATTTAAACCCATCTTTCTGGCTTTGAACCGTTACATTGGAATTCGCATCCTAGAACAAGACAAGGTCTCCATTAATTTTCTAGCAATGGGCCAACAGGCAAGAATCAGTGTTGGAACCAAAGTAATGGTAAGTGCATTAAAAAATAGTTTAAATCATTTAGATTTTAAGAGTAAAATAACTTTGTTAATGTTATTACTGATCGAACATATTTATGCCTAATCTGTCCACTGAGAATTTTTGGAATTCACAATGAAGGTTCCCTGTGCAATTGAAGCAACCTTATACTTTGTTCTCTCTTAAAGTTTCTTTCAGTTCCGACTGAAGTCCCAGCAGCATGTTCCCAGAGTTCATTGTGTGACTACACTCATCTGTCTTGGCAGTTTTGTTTTAGAGACTGTGTTGTGAGGTTTCTGCTTCCTCTCTGCTATGGCAGAAAGCACTAGGCGGGGCCAGAAACCTGAGTCCTAATCATGTTAAGAGGAAATACAAGCCCTGACTCCTAGGAGACACTGTTAGACTGCCCAGGTCTTCACCCAGTCATCATCTACCACCTTCTGAGCTGCCCATGAACTTGTCCCTGCCCTACACTGGCTGAGTCTGGCTGCCTCTCTGGCCACTGGGGCTGCCTTTCCCATTGACAATTAGCTTCCAAAGGACAGAACAGGTTCTCTCCTCTTCCTTTATCCTGTGCTTTGCCCTGACTTGATCAAGGCACACACTCCATGATGACCATAATTTAGGGGTTAAAAACACAGACATCAACTTACAGTCTGTAGTTTCAAATCTCAGCTCTGCCCCTTGGCTATGTGAGTGAACCTTAGCTTCCGTTCCTCAGCTATGAAGTAATGACTCCTGCCTCGCAGTTGCTGTGAGGAGTCTGTGGAAATGTAAAATCCTACGCATGGTGCCTGGCACAGACTATGTACTGAGCAAACAAAGCTGCCACATAGATGCGGAGAGAGATTCACAACGTTGCTGTGTTTCCATAGGCACAATGATTTGGAACACACCTCTTAAACTCTGAGAAGCTTCATTTAGCCTGGTTCTAAAGGGGGAGGTTTCTCCAAACTTCCCAACTGCCTTCAACTCCCTAACTTCATGTATTTTATAAGAAAATACGATCTCAATATTCAGCACAGGCAGGACCATCAAACAAGATGGAGACCTCAGAAGCAACCTGAAGTGTGCTCAGTATGATTCTAGGCCCTGTTAATCAATCTGGCCATCTGCCTGGTTCAGCTCTTAACAAACTTCTTTCTCGGTCAGAAAAATGTACAGTGTGATCAACTATTCCAGAGTATACAGTAATGTCTAGCCTCCCTTTGGTACATCACACTCATGGCAAGTCCATTCTCCTCTAAGACACAAAAATGTCCTCTCTTAGGGGCACCTTCCCTCCCCTGCCACTCTGCAGCTCTATGGCTTCTCTCCTCCACTATTGGAAATGGATTTGAATATGGAAAAGACTTCTTGATGCCAAAGGAAGAACACAGTGCTAAGGAGTTTTTACTTTTCCCATTGTTTCCATGGTTACCCTTTCTTTGGAGGGAGATGTGGGAACTCAAAGGTACTGTGTTCTTTGTCCCCATGCATCCCCTACAGCAGAAGGCTGTGTTTCTGCTGCTCTCTAGCCTGCTCCTCTGAGGCTGAGCGCCCTCCTAGGTGGCTCTGAAGCTGACAGGTCCCTCTGTAGCTGCTAGGAGACCTCAGCCTTGAATCCTCAGACTGTGAGGAAGTGGCAAGGGCCACTGAATGGAGTCCTGGAGGTCGAGACACACTGTAGAGAACAAAAGGAATGTTAGTCACTCCCCTGCCACCTTCTCTAGAAAGACATCCTTCTCAGTACTTTCCCCCTGGGCCTTCAGAGCACTCCTCGACAACCTGCCTCACTAGACACTTTCTAGGGGAGAGACTACTTAAGGTAGCTTCACGCTCCCTTCAGTTGACACTGGTTAAATTTCCTGAATAAACTGTAAGCTTTGCAAGTGTCTAAAGTCCACTATTTGTTCTCTCCAGACTCCGCAGCATGACAGTTTCTTTCCTTATTCAGAGTAAAATGGTCCCAATGTCCCAACTCCAGTTGGTCCTCCCACCTGCCCATTTCTGCTCCTGGACACTCAGCTTCCTCCCTCTCTTTCTTTGCCAACAAGCTCCACAACCCAGAGGAGCTCCCAGCCCTGCGGTTCCTGAGTGGAGACGACCTGCTGCTGCTGGCCAGCTTAATAAAGATCCGGCGGCTGTTCCATAAGCTGGAAGGGTGCATGAATTTCCCCTCAAGTCAGGCTTGGGAAAAACTAAAGCAACCTTCCTACCTTTCTTCACTCTCTCTAAAACTACTTACCCTCTGTCATAATTCTGGCATACAGAAAAATATAATAGCAACAATTAAAAAGCTAATAAAAGAAAAAGATTAAAGAAGTGTCATGGGGCTTTCTTTTGTTTTGTTAAGAGTCTTTTAAGGAACATGAGGTTTCAAAGACTAGATTGAATGACCAGGAAATATCAAGAAATGCTTTACTGTATACATTTAGGACACCCTGTGAGTCATTGCTGGTGTATTCCCAGCTGGAAATGTAACTCACTTCCTCAAGCCCAGAAAAGAAGCATGGCATAAAGAGACACAGGGTAGCGGGCACCTATTCCACCAGGGAAGGTGTGGGGACCAGTGCTTCTCAGCCCCTGAAAGGGGCATCTAAAGGAGGAATAACTCTCAGAGTCACTGCCCACGGCACCTGTGAGGGGACAGGAACTCCAGAAGATCTGCCGCCTGGTTCTGCAGTCTAGGAAAGCAAACCCTGCCATCTGCCAGAATGTTTGCCTCCCACCAAAGAGAAGTATGCCTCCTCCCTCTCCACCTGGTCAGCATCAGGCTGAGACTCACCTAGGAACCAGCTAGCTAAACTGCACAAAAATAATTATTTCCCATTTGCTTTGGTGAGACAATACTGAATCCCTAGAGATAACATAGCAGAGTCCCCTCTCCTCAATCAGGGGGAAGAACAGAAGGCAGATCAGTGAGGACCCTGTCTAGTCACTGTTCTATTGCTGCAAAGAGACACCATGACCAAGGCAGTTTATAAAAGGAAGCATTTAATTGAGGGCTTACTTACAGTTTCAGACAGTGGGGATGAACAGCCAACTGGGGGCTTTTGAAACCTCAAAGCCTATGCCCAATGAGCTCTCCTCCAACAAGGCCACACCTCCTAATCCTTCCTGAACAGTCCACCAACTGAGAAACAAACATTCAAATATATGAGCCTATGGGGGCCATTCTCATTCAAATCACCGCAGACTCTAAAGACATATAAGAGACATCTGGACCCCACAGCTGCTGAACATCCTGGATTTCTCAGCAATTCAGGAGTGGGAGGGAATAAGTTTCAGGTAACATTCCTAATTACCAGTTTTGGCACTATGTGGCAAAAGGGAGTTAAGTCTACCCTTCCCCCACCCCATTAATAACTACCAAACTTGTTGTTTTTCTAGAAACTCAATGGAATCTGTTATGGCTTGAATGTTTTGTACAGTTGATCCCCAGCAAAGGGTACAGTTCTGGGGGTTTTAGAATCATTAAACATGGGGCCTAGTGGGAAGAACTGCAGGGGTGAGGCTTGTGGGCTCCAGGTGGCCCTCCCCAGCTCTCAGCTTCCTGGTTGGTGCCAGGTAGTAAGCTCCAGCTACAAACTGCCACCACCATAAACTCTGCCATGACTTCCCCAACATGATGGCCTGCATCTTCTCAACGTATAAGACCTTCTTCTCATAATTCACAGAAAGCTTAACTCTGAAGAGGAAGCATGGTCTATCCCAGTTGGCCTGTGGGTGACAGTGGCCTGGTTAACCCATTAACTTCTGCCCCCACGCCCAAATATGTCATTGGCTTGCTTTCTGTTGTTGTTTCTGTAATGTTGTTAGGACTGAGATTGTTTTGTCTTCTTTCATTTCTGTCTTGCTAATTCCCACTGCTTGTCTTTGTAGGAAAGTGACTTTTAGAGTCATGTCTTTTTTTTTATGCTTGTAACTATACAATTTCCACTATTATGCTTTTAAGTTTTTATTTTTGAGATTATAATATAATTAAGACACTTCTACCTTCTCTTTCTTTTCTCCAGACTCTTTCAAATGTCTCTCCCCACTCTCCTTCAAATTTATGGCCTCTTTTTTCAGTAATTGTTATTACATGCATATGAATATATATATTCCTAAATGTAACCTGTTCAGTCCATATAAAATTATTTGTATGTATGTTTTCAAAGCTGATCACTTGGACTGGACAATATTCTGCATAAAATCATTTACAATATGCAAGATTTTCAAAATCAATACAGCCTCTCAAAAAGTAAACATATCTGCCAAATTTATAGGTCACTATGAAACTTCACCTCTAAAATATCTCCAAAGAGACTGGAGACAGGCTCATCAGTTTAGAGTACTGCTGCAAAATAACCATTTTGTACACTGTGAAGATGTGTCACTCTGATTGGTTTAATAAAAAGCTGAACAGGATTTCTGGGCAGAGAGGACACTGAGAAGGTGGAGACACCAGGAGATGCAGAAAACAGGATGGGCAGTACAGAGATGAGGTAACAAAGCCACAAGGCAGAAAGTAAATTAATAGAAATGGGTCAATTTAGTTAGAAACAAGCCCAAGCTACAGCCGACCTTTCATAATTAGCATATAAGCCCAGTGTTATTTTTTGTGAGCTGGCAGCCCAAAGAAAAGCCCAACTACAGAGTGCAGACTGCTCCTGCAGAGAACTTGGTTCAGTTCCCAGCACCCATGTCAGGTGGCTCACAACCACCTATAACTCCAGTTCCAGGAGAGCAACACACTCCGGCCTCAGTGGGCACCTTCACACATCTGGTACACATAAACTCTCTCTCACACACACATAAATAAAAATAATTAATAAATCTTTCTTAAAAATACCTTCCAGAAAATAAACATTCAGCCAGTTTCAAAATATGATTAGAAATACATGATTTAGTAAAATGTAAAGGCAACAAATGATCAAATGTTGATTCATCAGTTACATTTTAAAACTTCATTTAATAATTTGTACCTAAGTATGCATTAGCTACAAGCTAGACTCACTTCCTTTCCTACTGAAAAGCCAGCTCTCAACAGGCCAGGAACTGAAGAGGAGGTGTGGAGTCGGCAGTTAATCACACAATTGACTTTCTTCTCTGAGGGAGTGAAACAGTTTTCTGGGGATGGCAAAAAAGGGGAAAACACATACACACACACACACACACACACACACACACATACACACACACATACACACACACACACACACACACACACACATACCTTCAGCATGTCAGGTGTCCTTTATTTTTTCCCTATTACATCTCTTCTGATGTTTTCCTTCTAATTCTGTTTTTCCCCTTCCAGCTTACACACCCCAGCAAAATCTTTCAAGCAATATAAAAATTACAATGTGGTTACATTCTACTTTTTAAGTGAATGATTACAATAAATACAACTAAAAAACAGCATGTTTCTCATTTCTCTTACATGATTAAACATTTTACACATTACAGGTGAAAACCAAATTATTCCCAAGGACCCACATACATTCATGTCCAATCAACTTGTTATAGATTAACGAAGTGTAAGGAAACAAGGTAATTTTCTCAATCAGCTCTTTCACTGGCAGGCTGCATTTTGTGTTTACAAAGAAAGGATCAATCATTTTATTATCTCAAAAGGTAATTATCTCAAAAGATAATCATTAAAAAATCTTAAAAGAACCACAAATCTAAACTTTCATATATGAAAAACAGCCAGTCATCTCTACTTTAAATCCTTAGGGTACATTCTCACTCATTAACAGCTTTTTATTAAATCAAATTAGGAAGCTGCAGGGTACAAGAAATTAATCATTGCCTCTGGTCACCAACCCATCTTTAGCAAGAAAGGCATGTCAGTAGTAATAACCAGGCTACCTTTGTTCTTGTTCCTTGACCTCATCAAGTCCCTTGCTCAACTATTAAAAGTGTGCCTTTCTAAACTTTAAATTGTTCCCCAAGATTTTCTGAATAAACGAATCAAGTGAAGTCTGCACAGAGATACACACAGTCATGGAGTGTGGGAGTCTGAGTCCAGCTCCGATCTGTCGAAGGGTTCTTGGGTAGAGGAGAGAGGAATGAGGAAATATTAAATAGAAAGATAGAAAGAGACATAGAATAACTTTGGGAGGGTCCTGGGTCAATACCCAGTTGCCCAGAAGTTTATTCAAAAGGCTTTTTATAATATGCTCCCCCTTGCAAGATCAAAGCACACCATACAGTTAAGCATAGACACTTCCAAACACCTGGTAAACATGCCCCTGGCCAAATCATCCCATTATGCAGTCCTGCTGGGTAAAGCAAGCTCAGATTCTCTGACCCTGAGTTAGGTCTTACTAGGAAGCCTCTGTGGGCCTCCACAATGGAGCAAAAATCAATGTATTTCCTCCTCAGTGCTGGAAGTATAGGCTACAAATAAACCAAAATCCATCTCAAAGCCTAGGACCCACCTCAGTCTGTGCTGTTCCAAATATACACACACCCATCTTACCTGGTTTTCTGTTCATTTTGTTATGCCATTGTTAAAAAATTTCCATCAGAAACATGGCAAGCATGTTGGTCATGTAGCCCAAGTGTGTGTTTATCCCCGGCTGGAGTTCACTCCACTGATGTATTTATCTGTTTAATAAACATTTACTCAGTGCCTATTTTGTGCCACCTACTAATGACACACAACTAGAAGTCTCACTTCTTTGTCCTTAGGGAAAAGGAGATATAAAAAGGAGACTGTGACTAAATAGTGAGGTAAGTGTAATGGAAGAAAAATGTTCAAGGAGAAGCCAAAAGACAGTCTCTGTCCCAGCCCAGATTGAGGTAGAGGAAAGAGAATGCAAAAAAGGCCAAATAACTGATTTCAGAATAATCATAGAATTTCTTCCCTGACATAACAATTAACCCTTGAGTATGTTGACTGGATTCAGGAGACACAGGTGATTCAAAGGATGACCACAGAGCCAGAAATGCCCAGAAGATAAGTAAATGAATACAAACTCATAACATCAAGTCCTCAAAAGGGAACTGGAGATGACCAGGCAACACCAACTTTGGCCAACTACTTCTGGTCCCCAGGAAGATGCGAGGAAAGAAATAATTCACAAGTGTTCCTGGGGTTGGGGTTGGAAAAGGACGGCTTGGCTCCAACCAGATTCAACTTAAAAAGAAAGGTTCAGCTATGGAGAGAGGGGAGGCCTTGGAGAAGTCAGAGTAAGTACAGTAGGGCAGGCTGGGAATGCTCCATGTCAAGTCTGGACTAGAATATACCAGTGGAGGTGAATGTGATGGGGCTGCGTACAGATAGGATTTATGCTATTAAATCATTAAATATTTCATATATTTTTTAATATCTTAAATTCTTTTGCCTTAAAAAAGACTAGCCAGAAAAAAATAAGAAAACAGAAAGCACACTGAAATCAGGTACAGACCGGGGAGAAGCAAGCAGTTCCATGGTCTAACAGAGGCTTTAGCTGAAGTATTGAGGGTAAATAGGAGAATCAGATCACCAAGACTAGAACTCAGAATTCCTTTTTCCTTAGCCTAAGAATACATGAGCTTCCTAAACTATACAATAAACATATTTTTAACTCTACCCATATGATATTGTCTAAAGATAGAGAATTGGTTCAGAATGAATTACCTAGAATAATGTGGTAGCCTAGAAATTTGTCTGCTTGGGTTTATACAATTATACATGATCTAGAGTGCAGTGTTCACATCTTTAAAGAAACACTAATCACAGCCAAGTACAAAGCTGCACTCCTGTACTCCTAGCACTTGAGAAATGAAAGCAAAAGAATTGTCACAAGTCTGAGGCCAGCCTGGGCAAGAGAGTACCAGCCAGCCAAGACTATACAGCAGGGCCTTGTCCCAAAAAGAAATCTCTCCTAAATAAATAAATTAATATGTTACATTTCCCTATGCCCATACTACCTGAGTTCTTTCCTCAATGCCCAAATCAGACGAGGATATTGTTCAGTTCTATACACTACTTTATGTTGATACTCTTTAACATTCCACAGAGAAAGAAACAGTTCCTGAATGATGCCATCACCAAATAGTGGTTATCATGATTACATTGATGTTTTTGTTTGTTTTGCGTGTGTGTGTGTGTGTGTGTGTGTGTGTGTGTGTGTGTGTGTGTGTGTGAATGTTTGCCTATTTTATAACAAAACAAGAACCAAGAGATAGTACAAAATAATCGTCTTCCAGGGCATGTCTCCTTTGCAAGTCTTGGTCCTATTAATAAAAGAACTTAAAAATGAGCTCAGAGTCAGGCAGTGATGGTGCACACCTTTGATTGCAGCATGTGGTGGGCAGAGGCAGTAGATTTCTGTGAGTTCAAGGCCAGCCTGCTCTACAGAGTGAATTGCAGGACAGGTTACAGAGAAACTCTGTTTCAAAAAACAAAAACAAAAACAGAAGGAGAGAGAGAGAGAGAGAGAGACAGAGACAGAGAGACAGAGAGACAGAGACAGAGACAAGAGATGAGAGACAAGACAGAGAATGGAAGAGAGAGAACTTAAAAATGAGTTCAGAAGGAAATTTAAGACAATTTACTGGAGTCCAGGAGAGAAAAAAGAGTAGGCAAGCTGGAGATCTGTGTGTGTGTATGGGGGGGGGGGGTGGAAAGTAGAAGGGGAAAGAAAGTCCTACTTTCATAGAGTTTTGTGAATGAACAGATACAGTGGAGAACCAAGAAGGCACATTGGGAAAAGGGGGTGGCAGAAGATGCCCATGGCCTTTGTTCCTGTTAGCTTTTATTGGAAGGGAACCAAAATAGCCCTAGGGTGCCATGTCTTTGAGCATGAAAGAAACCTTCTGGCCTTCTGAGTCCAAGCAATGAGAAGATGTTTTACCTTCATTTTCTTTGGTTTAAACTTATATAAGTTGTCTAAGGACCGTTCTGGGTGGCCTAGATTCAGCATGGACTTAACAGAAGGAGTCTTGACTAACATCATCCACTGGACCACTTCAGAGCTGGCAATTAGTTACACGCAGCCGGCTCTTTATCCCTCCCTCAAAGGCTGGTGCTGTGTTTTGGTTTTAATTATTTTATGTGTCTGGGTGTTTGGCTTCTATACCTGGTGCTGGAGAAGGCCAGAGAAGGGTATTAGATTCCCTAGAACTGGAGTTACAGATGGTCGTACGGTTGTGAGCAGCTAGTACTCTTGACTGATGACCCATCTCCCCAGACCTTCTGCTTTATTTTTTTTATCAAGCCATAGAAGTATTTAAGTTACAAGAAGCTTGGAGATTTTCCATTACAGTGCTCAAAATCTGCCTTAAGTTAAAGAAAAATTCTCTACCTGCTCTTGCTGCCACCAATCACACTAATTCTGTTAAAGGAAACTGACATATTGATATTCATGTGTCATAGTGCCTAAGAAGCAGTTGGCTGAGGAGGGTCCCTTTCTTCCTGCCTAGCATCCTCTGTCACTTACAGTCTGAAACTGACAGCAAGCCTGCTTATTTCTAATAGTGACTAAGACTGATAGACAGTGGGTGGGGGGTATAGCTAGTGACAGAGCAGTTGCCCAGTATTTGTGAGGCTCTGGTTCAATTCCAAGGACTGAAAAAAAATCAATTTAATTCAAAAGATGCTTCAGTGATCTCTTAGCACCCAAGTAACAGAGGATTCTGGGACCCGGGGTGCTGAGCTCTGTACGATGACAAAGCAGGTAATGGAACCCTCCCAGAGCCAGGGTTGCCGTGGGAGGGCCATGGTTCAGCTCATAGCAGATGAAGGAGCCTTGAACCTGTGCAGCTGTTAGATGTTTGAAGGCTCTCTGGCCTCAGAACACAGGGGTCCGGGAATGGCCCGGTTACAGGAGGCACAGACAGACTGGGACTGTAAAAACTGTAAAATCCTGAATAAAAGTTTTAGAGACTTGCCTGAACTGAAAAAAGTTTTGGTTATGGGACTCCTCATATTTGGAGATCTTTGTTATACAAAGACTTAAGGGCAGCTGACAAGCCAGGCCCTGATTTCGAGTGCTCAGAGGAACTTTTAGAACTGGTACCAGAACTTATTTTTTTGAACTTTTGAATTTATGAAATAGTAATTTCATTACATTGGGACAGTTTGAATTTACTTATGTATATAGACTCTATCAATGCTGATGACTTATGGAACTGATTATGTAAAAACGGAACTGTTTAAATAGAAAAGTTTGAGTTTTCTCTAACTAGGTTCGAGATTTAGTTTAAAAAAATATAAAGAAAAGGGCGAGTTATGTGTGAATTAAGGTTGAATGTAGGTTTGTAGGAATTATAATTGTGAATAGTAATGTTTATGTTGCAGTTATTATGTTAACCTACTGATATTGATGCACCATGGTTTGGTGAAGTTAAGGAAGTATTTAAGTTTGATGTGAATGCATCAGAAGTTTATCGAACGTTTTGTTAGCAAGAAATTCAAATGGTACTATTAAGAGTTTGCTTTAAGATGTAAGATTGAGAGAATTGTAACTATGTATATCAGTATGTTAGAATTATGTTAACCTGTTAATTTTAATGATGAAGCTAGGGGAGTCTTTAATTTGATACAGTTGCATCAAGAGTTTTTTGGTTTAGAAAGGGCTGGATGCAGCTAAGACTGCTGTAATCACCTTAGACCCATTGCAAAAAGGAAATGCCATCATTATCATCCTCTACTCCTGTACTAGGAGGAATGACAGTTATGAAGATTGCTGTGAGCTCTTAATGGGGAGTTCTTTTTTAAATATTAACAAGAAGGGGACCTGTTGGAGCCCATCGAGGCTTCCGAGTGGCTTTACCCAGCAGGACTGCATAAGAGGATGATTTGATCATGGGCCTAAGTACCAGGTGTTTGTAAGGGTCTGTACTTGACTGTAACTAGCAAGGGGGAGGTCTTTAGCCCATCCCCTTGATATAAATAGCCCTTTGGAATAAAGTTCAGGGCTGGTGGATAAGGATCCAGGCCCACCTGAGGCTATCCTGTATTTAGTCTGTTTCTCTCCTCTCTTTATTTCTACCTGTCTCTTACCCCTCATTCCTCAAGAGTCCCTGGGGTAAATAAATGTGGGGGCTGGCCCCCCACATTAGGTAAGCTCCAGGGATTGGAATTCAGGTAATCAAACCTTTGAAGCAAGCACTTTTTACTACTGAGTCATCTTTCCAGCCCCAACTCTGCTTTAAGTTGGAAACATTGCAATATTTCATTTTTTTTCTTTTTGAACATATGCTTTCCTCTTTCTTCCGCCAATTTATTGAATTGTGATAGGTTTTATGCCTGGAAATCTATTATTTCACTTCCTATGACCTTAAGGTGCTGTGGGATGTTCTGTATGGCAAATGTGTTGCTGATTAGTCATTAAATAAAACACTGATTGGCCATTGGCTAGGCAGGAAGTGTAGGCGGGACAAGGAGGAGAATAAAGCTGGGAAGTGGAAGGCTGAGTCAGAGAGACACTGCCAGCTGCCACAATGAGAAATAGCATGTGAAGATGCCGGTAAGCCACGAGCCACGTGGCAAGGTATAGATTAATAGAAATGGGTTAATTTAAGCTGTAAGAACAGTTAGCAAGAAGCCTGCCACGGCCATACAGTTTGTAAGCAAAATAAGTCTCTGTGTTTACTTGGTCGGGTTTGAAAGGCTGTGGGACTGGCAGGTGAGAGAGATTTGTCCTGACTGTGGGCCAGGCAGGAAAACTCTACCTACAAATGGCGCCCAACGTGGGGCAAGAGTTTCCACCTAAAACTGAGAAAAAAGATTCTAAAACGGAGCTAAAAACAGTTCCTAATTGTCTCTCTCAAATGAACAGCAGCTGCTGGTTTGAGCTCCTTGTGGGTTTCTGGTGTGCGTGCTCAACCTGCAGTTTGGCGGGAATGAGGCCTCTGCAAGTGGCACATTAAGCTGCGTGGTGGATTTAGCCTTTGCAGGTATAAAACAAAAAAAGAGGTTTCTGGACTACACGCTGCTTGGATAAAAGCATAGACCCATGATAGCTCCCAGAACTGGTGGTAAACGTAGCCATGATGGGAAGCTGAGGTGGGCGGAGCCAGCAGCCACAGCTGCTGCAGCTTAAAGCAATAGATTCACAATAAGACAGATTCAGATGTAATAGTTTACAATGTGTGTAAAAGATACGTAGGCTTGAAAGAGACAAAAAAGATGATATATAGAGTTATAGAAACAAATACATAGTTTTAAAAAATAAAGTCTTTAAAGAGACAGTAAAGGTAGTATAAAAAATAAGCCACGTAAAAATGGATATTACACAGAGAATCTGCATTGTGTTGTCTTTGGGACTTTTAACTGCAGAAAAACATTTGATTGTAAAAGCTGTTGAGTTATGCCAAAATGTATATTTTAAAGGTACCTTGACTTCAAAATTTGGATAAGGATATGTTACTTTGGAAAGGAGACTCTGCTTTTGTTTCCACAGAAAGTCAGAGGCTATGGATTTGTTCCAGATTAAGACACATCAGGTTTGACCAGCCAAGACCCCCTGAAAGGTCTCCGATGACACCATGGCCCAGATGATCCAACATCCAGAATGGTTTGAAGGCAACTGGCTCAGACGATACACCCTCATGGACTATTCCATAATCCTAAAATTTTCTTTGTTTCCCCATAAGATACAGCGCCCCCCTCCAGCAGGAAGTAGTAAGAGAAGCTACGCCCAAATTCCCAAATTATATGTAATTTTACTTTGTTAAGGTTAAAACCTTCCTTTTTGAAAAAAAAAAGGGGGAAGTGCTGTGGGATGTTCTGTATGGCAAATGTGTTGCTGATTAGTCATTAAATAAAACAGTGATTGGCCATTGGCTAGGCAGGAAGTGTAGGCGGGACAAGGAGGAGAATAAAGCTGGGAAGTGGAAGGCTGAGTCAAAGAGACACTGCCAGCTGCCACAATGAGAAACAGCATGTGAAGATGCCGGTAAGCCACGAGCCACGTGGCAAGGTATAGATTAATAGAAATGGGTTAATTTAAGCTGTAAGAACAGTTAGCAAGAAGCCTGCCACGGCCATACAGTTTGTAAGCAAAATAAGTCTCTGTGTTTACTTGGTCGGGTTTGAAAGGCTGTGGGACTGGCAGGTGAGAGAGATTTGTCCTGACTGTGGGCCAGGCAGGAAAACTCTACCTACATTAAGGTCCTATGTATAAAGAAAGAAAGTAAACAACTATTTTGAGTTAACATTATTAGTGGCACATACCTGATTAAAACAACATGATACAGCCTGCAAGAGGACTCAGCTGGTAAGGCATTTGCTGCCAAGTCTGATGACCTGAGTCCAATCCCCAGTACCCAGAAAGTAGAAGCAAAGAACTACCTCCTGCGCATTGTCCTGATTGCCACATGTGCATGTACACACACACACACACACACACACACACACACACACACACACACACAGGCATACAGACATACAATATAAAGTACAAATTTTATAAAAGGTAAATTTTGACAAAACAAAGTAAAATGTTAGTGACACTGTATGATTCAATCGCCTTAAGATTAAAAGCAAAGACTTGTCAACCACTTAACATAAGCCACTCAATCATTAGAGTCACTTTAAAAAATGTGTACATAATAAAAATAGGGTTTGTCTTGTCCACTTGTGATATGATAGTTTTTGTTTTATATTTCATTCTGTTATATTTTATTATTACCCCTTAGAAGTCTGTTTATTTTCTTAGAAGGGACAGAATAGGAGTGGGTCCAGAAGGGTCCAGAAGGAAGAAGAGGTGAGGAGAAACTGGGAGGAACAAAGAGGAATAGG